TGGAGGGTTATCATAGTCTTTGCCCTTATTTTCTCTACGGTGGTGTTTCTTAACCTCGGCCATTTTAAGATAGGTGGACTTCAACTCCCAGAATTGAAGTCCACCCATCTTAAAGTGGTGAAGATTGAGAAACCCTGATTTATAGCAAACATGAGCCATGGTGGCGCAGTGGTTAGAATGCAGTACTGCAGGCAAACTGCAATTTGGCAGTTCGATTCTCACCGGCTGAAGATTGACTCAGCCTTCCATCTTTCCAAGGTCGGTAAAATGAGGACCCAGATCTACCGGTATCTGTGGTGGCACAGTGGTTAGAATGCAGCATTGCAGGCTAACTCTGCGAACTGCCAGGAGTTCGATCCTGACCGGCTCAAGGTTGATTCAGCCTTCCATCCTTCCCGAGGGCGGTAAAATGAGGATCCAGGTTATTGGGGGCAAGAGGCTGACTCTGCAAATCGCTTAGAGAGGGCTGTAAAACACTGTGGAGCAGTATATACTGTACTTTTCGGAATATAAGACGGACTTTCCCCCCCTCTAAAAGAGGGTGGAAATGTTGGTGCGTCTTATACACCGAAGACAGCCATTTTTGGCCTCCCAAAGCCCTGCATCGCGCGTCCCATTTTTGTGGAAAAACTGTTTTTCGCAAAAATGGAGTGCACAGAGGGTTTGGGAGGCCTGCAGAGTGCTCCTGGGGCCCGGGGAGGGCAAAAAAAAATTTTTTTTTCTTGCTTACCTCTTCGAAATCTTGGTGTGTCTTATAGTCTGAAAAATACGGTAAGTCTTAAGCTTAGGGCTATTGCTATTTGTTGCAGCAAATCCTGTTACCAATTCAGGACACAAGACCACGAAGGGTTGGAGAAACAGGTTTTATTTGCGCAAAGGTTCAGAGCATTAACATGTCAAATTCTGAGCCCCGGACTACGTCCAAGGTGTGACTTTTATTCACTTTGCAACCTCAGCCCCACCTGAGGCGTTACTTTTATGTAGCTATACCAGAGCGAACATAACATAGAAAGGAGAAGTTTTTCATAATCGATTTATCTTACTACACATTTCCTATATGGTGGGTAGGGTATTATCTTACACCATCTGTTACCTTCGGTAGACACTTCTTGCAATATGTTCTTTTACAGGAATTATCTAGCACATAGGTCATTAAGCTCATAGTTACATTTAGCAAGTTCTCTGTACTTTCCTAAGGCTTGCAACTCATATAAGGAAGACAGGGGTGGGTTCTAAATTTTTTTACTACCGGTTCTGTGGGCGTGGCTTATTTTGTGGGCGTGGCTTGATGGTCATGTGACAATTCTTTAGGATTTAGCGGAGGTACTGGTCTACCAGGCTTTTAACTGCTTGCAGAGCTGAACCAATCTACTCATTTATTTTTGCTGGCACTGGTCTACTCATGTATTTTTGCCGGCACTGATCTACTCATTTATTTTTGCAGGCACTGGTCTACCTATTTATTTTTGCCGGCACTGATCTACTCATTTATTTTTGCAGGCACTGGTCTACCCATTTATTTTTGCCGGCACTGATCTACTCATTTATTTTTGCAGGAACTGGTCAACCTATTTATTTTTGCAGGCATTGATCTATTCATGTATTTTAACAGGCACTGGTCTACCTATTTATTTTTGCAGGCACTGATCTACTCATGTATTTTTGCAGGCACTGATCTACTCATGTATTTTTGCAGGCACTGGTCTACCCATTTATTTTTGCAGGCTCTGATCTAATGTATTTTTGCAGGCACTGATCTACTCATTTGTTTTCTTTTAACACTGATCAGCTGTAGGGCAGCCCTTTGAAGCCCCTTGGCAAGAGTTTAAACAGTTTTTTTTCCCTCTAGCCGATCAGCTGGGACACTCAGGAGGCAGCAATAGATTGGGGATGGGGCCAAATAAAAGGTAAGAATAACGCGGGGGGTGGGTGGGTGGGCGCGGGAGGGCAGAACCGGTTCGGTGACATCATATCGTCACCGCTACTGGCTCGGGACAACCGGGCCGAACCGGGATGAACCCACCACTGAAGCAAGATAACTTCTGCTAATTCTGTTAATACTTTTAGGGTATTTTTCCATACTGCCTCACTATAAACTAGCTTGTAGGTACAATCTGTGGCCTGCAGGGGGCAGATGTGCTCTCTCTCTTTCTCTCTCTCTTGCTCTCTCTCTCTCTCTCTCTCTTTCTACTGCTTGGAGATTAATAACTCTACAAGAGCTGAAATTGGTTTGAAAAATTACCGTATTAAGGAAAATACTTGGGTAGCAGTAAAATTCAACCTTCTGCAACTGATGGTTGCAGAATACATACCTACCCCTGCAGATAGCCGAGGACGGTGTCAATCATACAGGTAGTCCTTGATTTACAACCTCAATTGAGCCCAAAGTTTCTGTTGCAACGTGAAACGCTTGTTCCGCAAATTTTACCCCATCTTACGACCTTTCTCGCCTCGGTTGTTAAGTGAATCCATTGCAATCGTTAAATGAATCCGGCTTCCCCATGGATGGCGCTTGTCCGAAGGTCACAAAAGGGGATTGCGTGACTCCGGGACACTGCAACTGTCATAAATATGAGTCAGCTGTCGAGCGCCTGAATTTTGATCCCGGGACCACAGGAGTGGCCACAACGGTCATAAGTGTGAATAAGAGCCAAAAGTCAGTTTTTTCAGTGCCGTTGTAACTTTGGTCGCTAAATGAATTGTTGTAAATCGAGGATTACCTCTAGACTAACAACCGTCTATTTGTATTTTGCAACAATTAGGCAGTTTTTCCAGATCTAGAAAGCCAGAAGATTATATAATAATAATAATAATAATAATAATAATAATAATAATAATTATTATTATTATTATTATTATTATTATTATTATTATTATTATTATTATTATTATTATTATTATTATTATTATTATTATTATTATTATTATTATTTTATTTCTATACCGCCCTTCTCCCCAAGGACTCAGGGCGGTGTACAGCCAATTTAAAAACACAAGACACAACAATGATTAAAAATTAAAATAATTAAATAGGGAGGGAAAAATAACACAACTTTATGCACAAATAAAACTTTTAGAGGAAAGGGGAAATGGAAGGAGCATTGTATGCCGAACAATAATGTATAAGGCACTGATACAGAAAAGAGATCATCACACTGTTGTGAATCACAGTTGTTTTAGTGTGTCAAAGTTGGCCGCTTTAAGATGTGCGGATTTCAACTCCCCAAATTCTTCAGTTTGAAGAGGAAAAAAAAAAAACTAGCGTAGTTGAAAAGGGCTATCATATCAAGGACAGAATAACATGTTAATTTTTTTTTTTAGTAAAATTTGACAATGTGGAAAAAATGATTTAAATGCAAAAAGTTTTGCCAAAGAAAATGAGCCAGTTTTTATTTATTTCCTGTTTCCCCCCCCCAAAAATCTTGTTCCTTGCAGAGTGTAACTGTAGGAGGACACCGACTTGGGTGTGCTTAGTATAGAGATAAAGGGGGGGGGATTTATTATTTGGGGGAGGGGAAGAGGGGAGGATTCAGGCTTAGCTGAAGGATAAAGAGGACAATTCCTTAAATTTTGAAAACCTTGAGTATTGGGTTTTAGAAGGGAATCAAGTGAAGAATGAAACAAACAACAGAAGTAAATGGCCAAAATCTGAAGCTGTGTTTGAGCCTTTTTTAAAATTCCAGATCAAAGCTGTGCTGGCTTCTAGTTCCCATCATCAACCCAACCTGCTTGACTGTGGATCATGGAAATGGTAGTCCTAAGGGCGCCAAGGAGACGAAGCTTCTCCCAGTTTGATCCCTGGGAGGATCTCTCCCTCCATCTCTCTCTCTCTTTCTCTCTCTTTTTTTCTCTTTCTCTTTCTCTCTCTGTCTCTTTTATTTTTTTTCTCTTTCTCTCTTTGTCTCTATTTTCTTTTTCCTCTTTCTCTCCTTTTCTCTCTTTCTTTCTCTTTGTCTCTTTTTCTTCTCTGTTTGTCTCTGTCTCTCTCTCCCTCTCTTTTTTCTCTTTCTCTTTGTTTCTCTCTGTTTGTTTTCCTCTTTTTCTCTTTCTGTCTCTTTCTCCCTTTGTCTCTTTCTTTTCCCCCTCTCTTTCTTTCCTCTCTCTCTCTCTCTCCCTCTCCCCCTCTCCTCTGTCTCTCTCTCTCTCTCTGCTACAGATTTGGCATTTGCAACGAAAGATCCAGCATGTCCCTTCTTTTAAAAGCTGTTTGCCGATGAAGGAAAATAGGACTAAAGAAGACGACCAGTGTGAGAAATCTATGGACGGCAATCCACAGATTGCAAGAACGTCCAAGGGTAGGCCATATTGGGACCTCCTTTCAGGTATGTTAACCCAGACAGGAAGAAAAGCTACGTTCATGGGGCCATTCCCCATAGTGAAGATTGTCAACCTGGTAAGAAGGACGAGGAGACATTGATAGCAGTCTTCCAATATCTCAGGGGCTGCCAAAAAGAAAAGAGGGAGTCAGGCGAATGGAGGAGGAAGAGGTACTTCATGGTTCCATGATCTGAAGCCCTTCGTATTTAAACAACCCTCCGCTACCTGGACCCACAGTTATCTCTCCTTCGGCGAAACTCCAAGGGATCCGAGGGAAAAGATCCAAGTGATCCACTAAAACTTTCAGCGAGCTGCTCAGCTGAAACTGGACGACGCCGATGTCTCCGGCCACCACTGCTGCCATCTTTAGCCTCTGAGTCCATCCACTCTCCTTTCAGCAACCTTAGTGCTACCTGGACACACGGAGATCTTTTCGTCCCAAGAAGTTGCTTAGGATCTGAGGTAAAAAGATATAAACGAGCCTCTAGCCCACGGGGATCTTTCCTTCTCACCCGCTCCTCTCATACACAAATACATGTGGATCTTTCCTTCCACCAAGTTCCTGATGATCCAAACATTAAAATTAAGCTGAAATAAATTAAAATCAATTCTCCAAAGCATCTGAGGGCAGGACAAGAAGCAAGGGATGGAAACTAACCAAAAAAGAGAAGCAACTTTTAGAATTAAGTTTAGTTTTAGTTTTATTTGATTTATATACCGCCCTACTCCCGAAGGACTCAGGGCGGTGAAAAGGAGAAATTTCCTGACAGAACAAGGAATCAGTGGAACAACTTGCCTCCAGAAGTTGTGAATGCTCCAACACTGGAAGTTTTTAAGATGTTGGATAACCATTTGTCTGAAATGGTGTAGGGTTTCCTGCCTAAGCAGGGGGTTGGACTAGAAGACCTCCAAGGTCCCTTCCAACTCTGTTATTCTAAAATTCTAGTTAACAAGAGTTCAAAGACCCTTCCTTTGGGAAACCAGTTTTAGGCGGGGTGAACTCAGGTCACACAGAGCCGCTTCAGAGAGTTGGTTCAACTCCAAGCAGGAGAAAGTTGACCCGGCAATCCTGCCAAATTACCAGGTCCGAATGTAGAACTTGCTTCTCCTTTTGGAGGAGGTGAAATGTGACCTCCGGTGGACCTCAGTGAGTGTCTGGGATTTTGTAGTAATACCAGTAGACGGAAAAGTCTACCAATTTAGCTAAGAAAGAGGGATTCATCTGTAGGACTTTGTGGAACCCCATGTTCTCGTAGATCCGATGAGCAACGCGTTGCACCATGGAGGTACCCAACACGACTTCTTGGTAGCCGCGCTCCTGAGAAAACTGGATGACAGTCTTGATGAGGGCCTTGGAAAGCCCTTGCCCTCGGTGCTCCTTCTTCACGGACATACGCTGTAATTCCCGGGCGTTGACCCACCAAGATGGGTTCTCCGGAGGGATGACGGCCACCATGCCTACCACTTCCTCTCCGGCATCCACCACCCAGAAGCAGCAGTCCTTTGGCTCCAGGTAGGTCCTCCTGATGTCCATCATGTCCGTGGTGAGAGCATGATGGAGATACTCATCCCAGATGTTCTTCATGGAAAGCACGCCGGCCACCGAGACGATGGAGACGACCACAAGGGAGGTGATAATGGAAGCCGAGCACAGGTAGGTCAGGAGGAAGATGGCCAGGAGGCCCAGGTGTGTGTGAGGCCTGCTGAGAAAGTGCCACAGTGCCCAAGGGATGTGTTCCTGGATCCCTTGAATGTAAAAAGTGCGCACCATGTCATAATCTCTCTCCTCGTACTTGCGGATGTGGTACTTGCCTGCCAGCGAGTCATGTTTCTGCAGTCCTGGAAAACAGAAGGTATGGAAGCAGAGGAGAAGGAGGAGGACGAGAGTCTGTTTGGTTCATAGTTTGGGGACCCCAAATGTTACTCGCGTAAAAGCGATGGAGGGAGAGGGACAGGTGTCCGTCTTCTGAACATGCCAGCTCCAATTAAGAATAGAATAGAATAGAGTACAGGTGGAAGGGACCTCTGGCATGCGCTGGCTGGGGAATTCTGGGAGTTGAAGTCCACCTATCTTAAGAGTGGCCCCAGCTTGAGAAACACGGGGCTTATCCCAAAATGAAGCATTCTGCTCCCTTCCTTCATAATTTACTTTTTGTTTTAGTAATTAAGTAATTGAATTGTTGGAGAAGTAATCTGTTCCTGAGGCCAAGCAAAACTTTTAAATCTAAAAAAACACCTTTTACTGTTTCTGAAAAGTCCACAATTTAGTAGACAATGATCCTTATTTTTATATTTAATTTAATTTAATTTAATTTAATTTAATTTAATTTAATCTAATTTAATTTTTAATTTAGTTTAACTTAATTTAACTTATTTTATTTTTTTTATTTTTTTTTATTTTTTTTTTATTATTATTTTTTTATTTATTTATTTATTTTTAAATTTGATTTATATGCCGCCCTTCTCCGGAGACTCAGGGCGGCTTACAATGCGTTAAGCAATAGCCTTCATCCTTTTGTATATTTATACAAAGTCAGCTTATTGCCCCCACAAACCGGGTCCTCATTTTACCCACCTTAGAAAGGATGGAAGGCTGAGTCGACCTTGAGCCTGGTGAGAATTGAACTCGCAGTAATTGCAGGCAGCTGGATGTTAAATGCTGCCTTAGTAGGAGGCATTAGCCTCCTACACCACTCAGGCTCATATTTAAACAATATCCCAATTATTATATCTATCAGTTTTCTCAAATAGTACCATCCAGCATCTTAATAGAAATTGATTCATAATGTTCATTATTATATTTTCTTTTTACAAAATCTAATTTAACCTTTTCTTTTTAAGCATTTTTTTACTACCGGTTCTCCAGAACTGGTAGTAAAAAATGCTTTAAAAAAGTTTTTTAAAAAGTTCCCAAGCTCGCGCGCCACAGCTGATTTCTTCCCTCCGCGCCCCGCTGTTCTACATACCTTCCCAAGCTTCCTTTTGGTGTGTACGGTTCAGATTTCACCACCAGGTAGGACCTACTTAACAACCGTCTCGCTTAGTAACAAGAAATTTGGGGCTCAACTCTGGTCGTAAGTAAGAGGAGTTCCTGTGTTCCATGCTGAAGGAATCCTTTTGCAAATCAGTTTTTAAAGCTGGGATTGTCACTGCTAGCATTAAAAAAAAATATAACTGCTCCAATTTAGGAGCCTGGATAGCTCTGCAGACTGATAGCACTGTAATTTAACACCAGCTGTCTGCAATTAAAGTAAGTTCGAATCTTGCCAGGCTCAAGGCTGACTCAGCCTTCCATCCTTTCTAAGGTAGGTAAATTGAGGACCCAGTTTGTGGGGGCAATAAGCTGACTTTGTATAAATATACAAAAGGATGAAGGCTATTGCTTAACGCATTGTAAGCCACCCTGAGTCTCCGGAGAAGGGCGGCATATAAATCAAATTTAAAAAAATAATAATAAAAAAAATTTCCGGCTTCCAAAGGTGCAGGGCTACACACCCATCCCACGTCCCTTACCTGTTGCCAGGTGTCCAGGTGTCGGCTTCTTCTGGCCATCTGTGCTCGCGGCCATGATCTTGGAAAGAAGAAGGCGCTTTATGCTGGAGAGATTTTGCAAGAATTGCCGGCAACCAGGAAGCCACCAGATTAAAAGGACAGAAGCCTAAAAAACAGAAAGAATTATTATTTCCTTGTTGTACAACTCATGCCAGCTTCCTGGGATGATCCGGGACAAGGCACGAAGGTCACACAGCCAGCTGAGAGTTCAAACTCCTCTTTAATGCTCCAAATGTCCTCTCAAAACGCTCCCTCGTTCTTGGCAAGTCCCAGAGCAAACACACCCACACAGAGAGCAGCCTCTGGCTACGCCCGGTCCAGCAAAGCAAAGGAACAGGGAAACGAGTCAATGAAACAAGGAAGAAGGAATGAGTCCACGAAGTCAGGAAGAAGCAAGGAGTCCTGCAAACGCCAAATGTCTGCACCGGCACACACAAAACTCCACTAAGTCAGCGTTCGTTCCCGACAAATGTTCCCTCCCTACAGCGTCTCCTTAAATCTCAGTCCCCAGGTGTTTCTTCTCGAGTCGTCGGGTCGGCCTGCGCTGTTCCTGCCTTCTCTCCACTCTCCGTGCTCTGGGATCAGGAGGGGACGGTCCTTGCTCATTGCCTGAGCTCCGTGGCTCCTCATGTCCACTGCTTGCCCTCTCTCTGTCATCCTGCCCCCATTCCTCCCTGCTAACAAGCCGTCCCAATCCTGAGGGGCTCTGGGGTGCCTTCTCCTCTCCACATTCTTCCAAAGCCAACGAAGCAGCCCCCTCGATCTCCATCGGCTCAAGCTCCAGCTCGTCTTCCTCTACAGATTCAGGTTCCGACGGGGGCATGACAGTCACCCCTATAACCTACGTTTTAATCAAGAGGCCGTTAAAAGAATTTTTGGGGATCCAATTTGGTTTCTCTCTGCAGGATCCTGAGATTAAAAAAAATGGAATTCATACGTACACGATGTTTATTTAAAACTGGAGTAAATGTATAGCAAAACCCGGATCGGAGCTGCAGGGTTTCAATTCCACTTTTTAGATTAAATCAAATCGAAATGACTCAAAAGCCTCCTTGGTGCTGAAGAACAGCCGTCCTTCAAAAAAAAGAAAGAAAAAAAGAGCATTTTGTACTCAAATCTGTTGAATGCCTGACTTTGTTCATTGTGATTTGGATGATAAACCAATCAAAATTCGGATTAAAGAGCCTTCCCCCTTTTTTAGGCTGAGCCATAAGACAAAGTCCACGGGCTCCTGGAATTTTATTTCTTTAGTATCGCAAGGCAGTAAAATGTAGTTTGGAGTTTTTGTTTTTTTTAAATGAGAGAAAGTGTTGTGACTTTAACAGATTAACAGAGTTGGAAGGGACCTTGTAGGTCATCTATTCCAACCCCCCACTTGGCAAGAGATGAAGGAAGCCACTGCAGCCATAAGGTGCAGCTGCTTCGAAGTACACCTGGTGACAGGTGACTCCAGGTGGGTGAATGGGGGTACCTGGTGCACGTACCTGAAACCGGGCATGTTGCAATTTTTTTTTGCCTCCGTTGTATGTCGAGGACTATCTGCAGTCAGGATGGACTTTAAATTAAATCCTTCAATATATAAGGTAGTCCTCGACTTACGACCACAATTGAGCCCAACATTTCGGTTGCTAAGGGAAACATTTGAGTTTGCTCCATTTTACAACTTTTCTTGCCACGGTTGTTAAGTGAATCACCGCAGTTGATCAGTTTGCCACCCTGGTTGTTAAGTGAATTGGGCTTTCCCCACTGACGCTGATTGTCAGAAGGTCGCAAAAGGGGATCATGTGACACCCCCCCCCCCAGGATACAGCAAAGGTCATAAGTATGAAGCAGCCAAGGAAAAACAGTCGTCAGTCCCATTTTTTTCAGTTGACGTAACTTTGAGCAGTCCCTAAATGAACCTGTTAAGTCGAGGGCTACCTATACTTACGACTCGACATCAGAGTTACGACGGCCTCTCACGTGACTGCATTTTGGGTGCTCTCCTTTATGGCCGTTGGCCGTGTTGGGCAGTCAGAAGTCTCTTGGATTTGTGACATTCTTTTGCAGGTGACTGGCAAAACTCTGCTCCTTCAGAAGAATGGTTTAATGACCGCAGGATTCACTTAACAACCGTTGTAAAAACAGTTCCAAAATTGAATCTGGTCATGGGGCGATTCAACTTAGTGCCAAAATTTTGAGCCCAATAATGGTCAAGTTGAGGGCTACCTATATAAATTTAAATTATAAATAAATTAGCAAGTCTGGTTAGGTTAGCTGAAGGAAATGCAAAGGGTTTTCGTTGTGATGGGCTGGTGGAAGAAAAGCAGGAGCTAGAATAGAATAGAATAGAATAGAATAGAATAGAATAGAATAGAATAGAATAGAATAGAAATAAGGGAAGGGAAGGGAGAAGAGAGAAGAGAAGAGAAGAGAAGAGAAGAGAAGAGAGAAGAGAAGAGAAGAGAAGAGAAGAGAAGAGAAGAGAAGAGAAGAGAAGAGAAGAGAAGAGAAGAGAAGAGAAGAGAAGATGATGGGATGGGAGAATAGAATAGAATAGAATAGAATAGAATAGAATAGAATAGAATAGAATAGAATAGAATAGAATAGAATAGAAATAAGGGAAGAGAAGAGAAGAGAAGATGATGGGATGGGAGGATAGAATAGAAGGGAAGGGAAGGGAAGGGAAGGGAAGGGAAAACAGAGAACAGAATAGAACAGGTTAGCCATCACTGCCCTATACCATTCCAGACTTTATTGGGCCTTTATAAGTTGGAGTTGGAAGGGACCTTGGAGGTCTTCTAGTCCAACTCCCTGCTCAGGCAGGAAACCCTATACTATTTCAGACAAATGATTGTCCAATCTCTTCTTAAAAACTTCCAGTGTTGGAGCATTTTCAGCTTCTAGTGGCAAGTTGTTCCACTGATTAATTGTTCTTACTGTCAGGGAATTTCTCTTTATTTCTAAGTTGCTTCTCTTCTTGATTCGTTTCCACCCGTTGCTTCTTGTCCTGCCCTCAGGTACTCTGGAGAATAGCTTGACTCCCTCTTCTTTGGGGCAGCCCCTGAGATATTGGAAGACTGGTATCACATCTCCCCTGGTCCTTCTCGCCATTAAACTAGACATACCCAGTTCCTGCAACCGTTCTTCCTATATTTTAACCTCCAGTCCCCTAATCCTCTTTCCTGCTCTTCTCTGCACTCTTTCCAGAGTCTCCACATCTTTTTTACATCGTGGCGACCAAAACTGGATGCAGGATTCCAAGTGTGGCCTTATAAAGTGGTATTAAGACTTCACGTGATCTTGATTTTATCCATTTATGCAGCCTAGGACTGTGCTGGCTTTTTTGGCAGCTGCTGCACACAGCTGGCTCCTATTTAAGTGGTTGTCCACTAGGACTCCGAGATCCCTCACACAGTTACTACTATTGAGTAAGGTACCACATATACGGTACCTGTGCATTTTGTTTTTCTTGCCTAAATGTAGAACTTTACTTTTTCCTCCCCACTGAATTTCATTTTGTTAGATAGGGCCCAATGTTTCAAGTCTGTCAAAATCCTTCTGTATCTTAAGCCTTTATCTTCTGGAGTGTTGGCTATTCCTGCCAGCTTGGTGTCATCTGCAAATTTGATGAGTTCTCCATGCATCACCATAATTAAAACAATGGTTTAATTAATTACGGGTGGATGACTTATTAACTGTGGCACTAACATGCCGAGTTACATATCTGCTAATATTAAAAAGCCACTGTTTAAATATCCACCTGGGATTCCAGTTTCCCTTCCACCCTTCTTTTTAATTTCATTTTACAGGCGGTCGACTTATGACGGTTCAGTTAGTGACCAAAGTTACAATGGCACTGAAAAAAAGTGATTTACGGCCAGTTTGTCATCTGACCATGGCAGCATCCCCCTTGGTCCTGCAATCCAAAATTCAGACGCATGGCCACTGTCTTGTATTTACGACGGTCGTGGGATCCCCTTTGGTGACTTTCTCACGAGCAAGATCAACGGGGAAGCCGGATTCGCTTAATGACCGGTGGCTAACTTAATGACTGCAGCGGTTCACTTAACTGTGGCAAGCAAGGTCATAAAATGGGGAAAAACTCAGTGTCCGCGATGGAAATTTTGGGCTGTTTGTGGTTGTAAGTCGAGGACCACCTGTGTGCCATTGTTTTTAGTGTCTTATTGCTTTGTTATCATATTTACATTTTTAATCTTTTTCCCCCGTTTTATTATTGTAAACGGCTCAAAACAGCCCCGTGGCGAGATAGGTGGCGAATATATTTAACAAATAAATATAATTGCATTATAGGAGAATAGAAACGATATTCGAAAAACGCTTCTGCTGTACTTCTCCCCTCTCCAATTCCCTCAGACTCGAACTCAAGAGTGCCGTAAGATAAACAAGGACCAGGCATAGAAATATTTCAACTTTACTGAATAATCAAATTTATTTTCCCACAATGCACGACGCCAGTGCACAGCACACACACCCCCCCCCCAAAAGACAACAGGGTGACCGCTCAGACAGCGAGAGACATTCCGAAATCAGCGTTAGGCACAATAAGGACTACGATGTTACAAGGCTGTGTTTTTCCAAACCAAATTTAAGTGTTTTTTTTAAAAAACCCTGCCTTTATTGTTTTTAGATATAATTCAAGGTGGCGAACATAGCTGCTGGTCCTTCCTCTTCCTATTTTCCCCACAGTTCTGTGAGGTGAATTAGGTTGAGAGTGAGTGATTGGCCTAGACATTCAGCCAGCTTTCGTGCCTAAAGCAGGACTAGAACTCACGGTTGCCTGGTGAGTTGCCCAAAGTCACCCAGCTGGTTTCTTGGGCCTAAAACGGGATTAGAACTTGGAGCCTCCTGACGACTGGCTCAAAGTCACCCAGATGGCTTTCGTGCTTAGGACAGAACTAGAATTCACTGTCCCCTGGTTATTGATCCAAAGTCACCCAGCTCACAACAACCCTGTGAGGTGGATTTAGGTTGAGAATGAGTGACCAACCCAGCTTTTATGTCTAAAGCAGGACTAGAAGTCACAGTCTACTGGTTATTGACCTAAAGTCATCCAGCTCACAAAAACCCTTTGAGTGGACTAGCTTGAGAGTGAGTGACTGACCCTGTCACCCAGCCAGCTTTCATGTCTAAAGCAAGACTGTCTCCAAGTCACGTAGTTGGTTTTCGTGCTTAGGACAGAACTAGAACTCACTGTCCCCTGGTTATTGACCCAAAGTCACCCAGCTCCCAAAAACCCTTTGAATGGACTAGGCTGGGAGTGAGTGACTGACTCAGTCACCTTTAATGTCTAAAGCAGGCCTAGAACTCACGATGTCCTGGTTATTGACCTAAAGTCACCCAGCCTACAACAACCCTGCGAGGTGGACTAGATTGAGAGTGAGTGACTGGCCTAGTCACCCAGCCAGCATTCATATCTAAAGCAGGCCTAGAACTCACTGTCTTCTGGTTATTAATCCAAAGTCACCTAGTTGGTTTTTGTGCTTAGGACAGAACTAGAGCTCACGGTCTCCTGGTTATTGACCCAAAGTCACCCAGCCTACGACAACCTGTGGGCGTGTCAAATCTAAGCCCTGCCCTTGGTTGGTTCCACCTGGTGTCCTAGGTGCAGGAAAGAAGAAAGGGGACGCGAGGGCGGATGCAGCCAATTGCTGGGAGGCAAACCCTCCGGCGGTTTCCTCACTCGGTGCTGGGAATGTCGTAGCGATACTTGGAAATTGTACAGTTGGCCAGCCTGCCGTAAACCGTGGGGAGGACATAATGGTGGTATTTATGGAAGCCGACCCCTTCGTACATTGCCCGGGCTTCATGCTGGACCATAAGCGTGTTCAACACCACGGAAGAGTAGCCGTGTTCCTGGGCGAAAGAGATCACAGTCTTGCAGAGAGCTTTGGCGATGCCAAAACCCCGGTAATCCTTCCGAACGGACATCCGCTTCAACATGAGTTCGTCGCGCTGTTCTTCGGAAGGTCTGGCCCCAACGGTGGCCACCACGCATTCGTCCGCTTCGGCCACCCAAAAGCACGAGCCGCTGTCGCCGAGGTACGTGGCCTGGATGTCCAGCAGGTCCTTCTGGAGACAGTGGTCGATGTACATCGACCAGATGTAACCCAGGAGTTGCCGGCCGACGGCCAGCAGCAAGGTGATAGCCAGGATGGGTAGGAGCAACGACTTGGAGCTGGTCAGCAGGAGGCTGAAGGTGCAAGCCAGGATCAGAATGACCCAAGGCTGCTTCAGCATGTGAATGCACAGAGTGGGCACGTACTCGCTCATCCCGGTGGCGAACAAGTCACGCACCGTCTCGTAGTCCCCGGGACGGTACTCGCGGATGTGGTAAGACACCATGGTGCGCCAGGCAGGGGTGGGTCAAGAGCAGCAAGGAGAATCCGGAGACCCCCTTAAAAAATAAAATCAAAAGAAAGGCGGTTAATGGAGAAGACAATGAAGTATCTCTCGGGTCTGGCCAACTCGAAAGATTTGTTTTTCTCGCCGTAAACATGTATACATCTGAACTAAAATAGAATGGGAATGGGATTTAGAATAGAATAATGAATAGAATAGAATAGAATAATGAATAGAATAGAATAGAATAGAATAGAATAGAATAGAATAGAATAGAATAGAATAGAATAGTATAGTTGGAAGGGGCATTGGAGGTCTTCTAGTCCAACCCCCTGTCCAGGCAGGAAACCCTACACCACTTCAGACAAATGGGTATCCAACATCTTCTTAAAAACTTCCAGTATTGGAGCATTTACAACTTCTGGAGGCAAGTTGTTCCACTGGTTAAATATATTGTCAAGAAATTTCTCCTTAGTTCTAAGATGGAAACTAATCAAGGAAAGAAGCAACTTAGAACTAAGGAGAAATTTCCTGACAATGAGAACATTTAACCAGTGGAACAGCCTGCCACCAGAAGTTGTGGGTGCTCCATCCATTGGAGGTTTTTAAGAAGAGACTGGTTTTATAACAATAATAATAAGAATAATAAGAATAATAACAATAGGTTAAGAAGAGACTGGTTTTATAACTATAATAATAACAACAATAATAATAACAATAATAGGTTAAGAAGAGACTGGTTTTATAACAATAATAATAATAAATGCTAAAACTGGTTACGAAGAGACTGGGCAGCCACTTGTGTCTGGAATGCTGCAGGCCGGGGTCTCCTGCTTGTGGGTTGGACTAGATGACCTCTAAGGTCCCCTCCCCGCTCTATTCTGATTCAGCTGCACTACCACGGAGGGAAAAAAAAAACCGTGGAAGGGAAATCACGGCCGTTCTTTGCGCATCTGGAGGAAACCGGAGTCCCCTGCGCTTAGCCGCGGACGATGGGAGTTGTAGTCCCCACCCACTCCCACTGGAGGGCAAGCAAGGCCCGCGCGGGCGAGCGAGTCACCGGGGGCCGACCCCGCTCTCCTTGCCCGGATAAGGAAGCCTTCCTCGGCCTGCAGCCCCTCGGCGGCTCAAGTACCTGCGGGCGAGAGCGCCGCCACCGCCGCGGCCTCCACCGCTCTCCTCAGGAGAAACGCCGCGGCCTCGCATTGGCCTCCTCGAACGTCGTCATTTCCGGATGGCGAGCGCACTTCCGGCCTCTCCCCGCCAAGTCCTACCTCTATGGTAAAAAAAAAAAAAATCGCCAGCCCGGAGGACTCGTTCTTCCCAGGCTGGGTTAAAGGGGCGTGGCCAGCCGGGCTCGCACGTGCGGCTCGCCGACGCGCCTGCGCGCCCTTCCGCGGAAAGGCCTCCGAGGCTCCAAAGGGTCTTCGGGAGCTCCACCCAAATGGCGTCGGCCGCGCAGGCGCAGATCCCGTCGTATAAATGCAATAATAGGCGGCCTTTCAGGCGTCTGGACTACGGTTCCCAGGATGCATAGGGAGTGAAGCAGCCGTCACGTGGTGGCTTTATCTGCTGGTAGTCCTCGATTTATGGACTACGGTGGAGCCCAACATTTATGTTACTAAGTGAGATATTTGTTAATAAATAAAAATAAATAAATTAAAATGAGTTTTGCCCCATCTTCATTCTGTTTATTTGCCTCTCTCTATTTTCTCTCTCTCTATCCATCTTATCTATCTACCTTATCTATCTAATCTATCCATTTTATCTATATTATCTATCTATTGTAGAAAGTTAGCACCCAACCCTCTCCAAGAAGAATGAAAAATTTTGAGAAACGTTAAAAAGGGAGAATGTTATATTTCCGTGGATGAGAAGACATGTTCTGGCCCAGGAACAGCAAACTCAAGTGCAAAGCCTAAGAGGAGGTATAAATACCCCCCACTCTCAACTCCATGTGGTCAGTTACCCAGAATCACCCATGTGCTTCTGCTTCACCATTAAACCATCTTTCCAATCAGCCTCCACATTTCCAGTGTCTTTTTCCCAGCTTGGAATTGAGCCAGATGGATATTTCTTCCAACACTTATCAAATTAAATTAAATTAATTATCAAATTAATATATATTCTTTTAATTGTTCTTAATGTTTGTATTGTATGTTTTTATCTGGCTGTACACCGCCCTGAGTCCCTTGGGAGAAGGTGCGGTATATAAATTTGAAATAAAATAAAATAAAAATAAAATCACTTATTATCTACCTACTAGTACCATATCTATCTATCTATCTATCTATCTATCTATCTATCTATCTATCTATCTATCTATCTATCTATCTATCTATCATCTATCTATCTATCTATCTATCTATCTATCTATCTTGTATTATCCATCAGTGTACTAATGTGAATAAGGTAAATAAAATAGGAATCATACAGAGTCAGCTACATGGACTCTAAAGGACCCTCTCTATTCACATTATTATAAGGGAAAAACGTGCTTAGCCCCATGAACTCTAAAAGGCCCTCTCTATTGTAAGAAAGAAATGTGCTGGCTTGGAAGAACAATATTTGTTTGGAAGATTACACTAAGTCAGATAAATTACATCCTGGATAATATATATCTATCTTCTGAAGGGACCTAGTTGTCAAGGACATCCTGGGTAATATATATATATATCTTCTGAAGGGGCCTAGTTGTCAAGGATGTAAGGACATCCATATGGAACCAAGGAAGACATAAATCTATGCATCAGCAATCACAGAACTAATAAAGGATGTTTAGCTACGATAATCTTATGAACTAGAAAATAATATAGGAATTTAGTAATTAGGAAATGTCAATTATCTTATAATGGATGTATGTTAACCATATATGGAAAACTGCCAGCAAAGTCCTTTGTCTTGGATATGTATAAAAGCAGTCCTACCAGGGCTCTTTCTTTGTTCAGATAGCAAGAACCAATCTGCCTCTGAACCTTGCGCAATAAAAACTGTCTCTGGCTGACCCAGGAATGTTGTTTGGTCCTATCATTCCATATCAGTACATTTCTCCTTCTGTTTTTCTGCCCACCTGCCTTATGTTATCTATGTTATCTATCTATCTATCATCATCTCCACTATATCTATCTCCATTCTGTTTGTCTGCCTTCCTCTAACCTCCCTCTGTCTCTGTCTGTCTCTCTCATATTGTATAGCCGCCCATCTCACACAGAAGTGGCCCATGTTGAGACCATACCTAGAAACCCCTTCTAGTTTTTCTGGGCATCACATGCTGGCTGGGAGTTGAAGTCCACCCACTTTAAGAAATGCTACCCCAAATCATCCCCTTCCAACTTCACAATCATAAGCCCGTTTCATTTTTCCACTCTTCATTGGGCTGACAACTCAATAATATTTCGGGGCAGATCATACACTGGGCCCTAACTAATGTAGGTAGGTAAATGCGGATCCAGCTGGATGATCACTGAAGGGCCCTCTTTAAGAAAGGAAATGTGCTTGTTTGAGGGAAGCCAATTATCTCCAGTTGAAAGGAGAGAATTCCTTTGAAGTAGAAACATTCAGAAGAAGGGGCCCCTCAGTTGTCAGAGATACAAGCATTTGGTGATATACAGTTTGAAGGTTAAAGAGATCAAGGATGACCACATGTAATATCAACAAGAGATAATTTGAAAATATGCTTCAGTAATCTACATAAAGAATTATGGCTGTTGGCAAAGAATAATATGAAACGGTAATTAGGAAATGTCAATTAAAAATGACAAATGTATATGATCATATGAATTGCTGAGTTAACAGAATCCTTTGTTTGAAGCTGTATAAAGTTGGACTCTCATGTTCATTACTTTGCTCGGATTCTTTAGGTAGCAATACCTGTCTGAACCTATTGCGCAATATACATTGTCTCTGATTAACCCAGAAAAGTTGTGTTGGTCTTATTAAATCCACAACAAACCGGCAAGGACATGTGATTACACTACTTGGCAATTCGGTGTGTTGCCTTTGTCTTCCTGGGAAGGCGAGAGAATAAAAAGCGGTGGCACATAACCTGGGAAGATTAAATATCCAAAGAATTTATTTGGTAAAACTCTTCGAAAGCCCCTTGACTTGCAAGGGCACGGCAATGCCCGCATTTTCATGGAAACCATTCTCATAAGCCAGGATTCTCCTGCCCGCCCCAAACGTTGCCCGCAAGCACCCCGTGGCCTCCGATCCGGAGAAGGACAACTTGTTCTGCCAGGACCAGCCTGCCAGCACAAAGCTGTGAGATATTTTGCGTCATTCCAGTACTTGGGTGTTAAGAAAATCATGTAGAATACAGAGACGGGGGAGGTGGGGTAGGAGACTAAGATGTAGAAGGTGTACAGGCAGTCCTCGATTTACAACGGTTCATTTAGTGACTGTTTGAAGTTACAACGGCACTGGAAAAAGTGACTTAGGACCGTTTTTCACACTTACGACCGTTGCAGCGTCCCCAGGGTCACGTGATCAAAATCTAGACACTTGGCAACTCATATTTATGACGGCTGCAGTATCCCGGGGTCACGCGATCCCCTTTCTGACGAGCAAAGTCAACTGGGAAGCCGGATTCACTTAACAACCACGTGAGCCACTTAACGAATGCAGGGATTCGTTTTGCAATTGTAGCAGGAAAGGTTCTCAAATGGGACGAAACTCACTGAACAACTGTCTCGCTTAGCTACAGAAATGTGTGTGTGTGTGTGTATGGGGTCAATGGTGATCGTAAGTCGAGGACTGCCTGTAGTCTTTTAGCCACGATATCCTGCATCTTCAGTTTATTATGTCCGGAATTCAACTGTGGGAGAGATGAAGGAATAAGAGAAAAGAGCGGAGCACATTCTCTGCTTTAAAGTCGTGACAAGCAGCTCCTTCAATTCTGAGGTTAAGGCAGAACAGAAAAGGGGGAAAAAAGGATTATATAGGTGTCTGCTTCGAAGAACCCAGGCAGCTCTAGAAATTCATCCCTGTTTTCTGAGTGACTTATAGGCAGTCGGTCTTAAGATGGAACTGACCTCTGTGTTTGACACAGAGGGAAGGGAGGAAGGAAGGAGAGAGGGAGGAAGGAAGGAAGGAAGGAAGGAAGGAAGGAAGGGAAGGAAGGAAGGGAGGAGAGAGGGAGGAAGGAAGGAAAAGGGGATGAGAAGAAGAAATGAAGGGAGGCGAGAGAGGAAATGTAGAGGAAGGGAAGGAAGGAAGGAAAGGAGATGGGGATGAGAGGAAGCAAAGAGGGAAGAAGGGAGGGAGAAAGGGAGGGAGGGTGGAAAAGAGGATGAGAAGAAATGAAGGCGAGAGAGAGGACAGGAGGAAATGTAGAGGAAGGAAAAAAGGGAAGGAAGGAAGGAAAGGAGATGGGGATGAGAGGAAGCAAGCAAGCAAGGAGTGAGGGAGCAAGGAAGGTAGAAAGGAAAGAAAGAGATGGGGATGAGAGGAAGGAAGGAGGGGAGAAGGAAGGAAGGAGAAGGGGATGAGAAGGAAGAAGAAGGAGGAGAGGAAGGAAGGAAGTGCGGAGGATGGAAGGAAGGGAAGAAAGAAAGGGGGAAAAGAAAAGGAAACAAAGGAAAAAGGGAGCGCGGAAGGAAATGCTAAGAGAAAGACAATGAAAGGAAAGATGGAAAGGAAGGAAGGAAATGGAGGAATGAAGGAAGGAGAAAGAGAAAGGAAGGAGGGAAAGGAAATGGAGGAAGTAAACGGAAACGAAAGAGAGGGGAAAAGGAGAGGAAGGAAAGAAAAATGTTCAGGTATTTGTAAACCTATCAACAATATTTCTCCGTAAAATGCCTGGCTAGGAGATCTCAGTTTGTTTGAAAGTTCCAGGAGGCGCATTCATCGTTTGTGAGCCGAGGGCCGGCATTCTCGCAGCCTCCCCAAACCAAAAGGGCCCCAGGCGGAAGAAGGGCCCGAGAGCCACGTTCTCCTCGGGGCGCTGCTGCTGCCTGACGGCCCTTCCTTGCCCTCACTGGGCCTGTCCGTTTGCCTGCAGTTGACGCAGACGCAGCTGGCGGAGACGCAAAGCGAGGTCCTTGGGCACCTTCCCGCCTTTGGCCAGGATCTCTCGCAGACGCTGCTTGGGGGTCTTGGTCAGGCGGAAGTCGCAGATGGTGGGGTTGTCCTCGTAAGTGACGTGGCAGGTTCGGGTGACGGGGTGGTAGCCCTCGGCCGTGGCGGTCACCTCGTATTCTCCGGGATTGAGCAGGCGCCAGTAGTCCCCATCGAAAGCTGCCAGGGGAGAAATGCACGAGAATGCTTTCTTGCAGACGTCTCATGACCCAGCTAGGGAATATTATCAGTGCTAAAAGGGAATGGGGTTTGTGGAGAGGAGGAGGAGGAAGAGGAGGAGGAGGAGGAGGAGGAAGAGGAGGAAGGGGGAGGAGAAGGAGGAGGATGACAACTGTGGGTTTGTTAGTGCTCTCTGAGCTTGGCTTTCTTGCAGATGTTTCCTTACCCAGCTAGGGAATATTATCAGTGCCAAAAGGGAATGGGGTTTGTGGAGAGGAGAAGGAGGAAGAGGAAGAGGAGGAGGAGGAGGAGGAGGGGAGGAGGAGGAGGAGGAGGAGGAGGAGGAGGAGGAGGAGGAGGAGGAGGAGGAGGAGGAGGAGGAAGGGGAGGAGGAGGAGGACTATGGGTTCCTTGGTGCTCTCTGCACCTGGTTGTTTTCTTGCAGATGTTTCCTTACCCAGCTAGGGAATATTATCAGTGCTAGAAGGGAGTGGGATTTGTGGAGAGGAGCAGGAGGAAGGACCGGGGTCCCTGGTGCAGTTTTCTTCCAGACATTTCATAACCCAACTAAGTAACATCATCAGTAAATGTTCAACAGCACTGATGACATTACCTAGTTGGGTCATGAGACGTCTGCAAGGAAACCACCCAGCTCAGAGAGCACCAAGGACCCCACAGTTCAATCCTGAGCTACAAATATTCTCCTTTATTGGTAAACGGAGGAGGAGTTAACGGGGAGCCATTGCATCGGCGCCCCACATGGACCACGCCCAGGCTTTTGGTACCTGTCCTGATGTCATGGTTGATGCCGTCGACGGAAATGATGGCATCGGCGAGTCCTTGCTCCGTGTCTTTGTCCCGGACGATCCCCTTAATCCCTCGGTGGATCTGAAAGGAGACATACGATTAGCTGGCAGATTTTGGTTAAGGCACCGAACTAGAGAGCAGGAGACGGTGAGTTCTAGTCCTGTTTTAGGGCACAGAAGCAACAGAAAACACCCATTGCGGACAATGGGCTTGCTTAACGACCGTCGTCTTCCCTTAATGGCTGTGGTGATTCACTTAACGACTGCCACAAAAAAAAAGGTTGTAAAATTGACACAGTCACATGTTGACCTGCTTAACGATGGACATGACTTAGGACCAGCGTGCCTTATGGCTCAATTATGGTCGTAAGTCAAAGACTTCCTGTAAGCCAAATCCTGTGTTGTTGTTCTGCCCGAGTGAAATCTGCGCGTGAAATACAGGTAGTCCTCGACTTACGACGGTTCATTTGGTGGCCGTTCAGAGTTACAATGGCACTGAGAAAAGGGACCCGTGTCACATGATCAAAATTCAGACGCTTAGCCAGTGACTCGTACTTACGACGGTTGCCGTGTCCCATGGCCACGTGTTCCCCTTTTGCGAACTTCTGACGAGCAAAACCAGATTCACTTAACAAGCGTGTTACTAACCCCCTCCTGCAGTGAACAATTGTGGCGAGAAAAATCGTACAATGGGGCAAAATTCGCTTAAGAACCGTCTCACTTAGAAATTGGAGTAAATAAAATATGCCTTTGTGAGAAATCTGTGTAATATATAAATTGGGAGGAAAAAAAAAAACTAAGGTAAACTGATTTGAGGATAAGGGTCAAAGGATTAAAATTAGTCAAAATGTTGTTTTATAAAATATAATAAAAATGGAGTGGTATTGAATTGAAACTAAGAATAAATGGTGATAAAATTGTAAGGTAAAACACTTAACAAGAGGTTAGAATATTGTAAAAATTGTTTTGATATGACTTGTGTAAGATATAAGGTAAAGAAGAATAAAGATATGTTTAGAATTGTTATGCAGATGTAAAATGAGTGAAAGTGAATTTGAAACTAATTTTGGATAGATATAATGGATTTATATAGATGAAAATGTTAAATTTGAGGTAAAATTGGCTTTTTCTTAAGTTTTGAATTTCTTTTTTATCTTCTTTTTTTTCTTTTTTTGTTTATTTATAAAAGATGTAATGGAAATTGTGAATTGAGCTTGTGAAAGGAATGTAAGCGTGGTAACCATCTATGACCGGATCGAGATTTTTGCTCTTGAAAGTTATGTTTTTATGTTTAAATTTGAAAAAATAAATAAAAAATATTTACAAAAAAAAAAGAAAAGAACCGTCTCACTTAGCAACAGAAATGTTGGGCTCCTCAATTGCGGTCGTAAGTCGAGAAGTACAGGTCAGCTCCAGCTGACACTACCTGCATGCAAGGACCTGGGTTACTGAGATGACCCCCGTGGCTGGATCTCCCAAAGGATTTATCAAAGTTTGGAACTGGTCCCAGGATCCTGGGTTGAAACATGGGGTTGGAGGTGGGGGGAACGGATGACACAGGTGACCCCTACCTGTTCCATGTAGAGCAACAGGGATTCCTTGTTGTTCTCCCACTCCTGGGGAAGCTCCGATTCGTGCGGGAATTTGTCGCAGGAGAGCTCGATCGTCACCTCAAAGCAGTTGGTGTGCAGGTAGCTGAAGTCGTTCATACCTGCAAGGGAGGTATGAACCTGAGCAGTCGTCCCTTTGACCCTGGCGGCAGAGTTCCCCAACTTTTCTGGGTCGGTGGCTCGGAGGTGGGGGGAGAGGGAAGGGAGGGGCAGGAGGAGCCTTTACGTGGGCGTGCTCATGGGCGAACGCCGGCTGCGCGCGCGGTGCGAACAGAGTGGAAACGGTGGTGATCGTGCGAAGTGGTTCGTGGTTCTGACCTAGGCTTCTCAAAAGCACGAAGCCGACTCCTAGTCCCGATAAAACCCCTTTTATTTAGTTTAAAGGGAATTCCTCTCCAGCAAAGTTGCGGCCAATAGTCTTTCAAGAGATTTCACAGCCGGTATCTTCCAAACGCCACGCTGTAGTATTGTCTGAGACAATACTTGGCAAGAAGTCAGGAACAGATTGTTGCTCTAATGCAGAGGTCTTCAAACTTGGCAGCTTTAAGACTTGTGGACTTCAACTCCCAGAATTCTCCAGCCAGCGGGAGTTGAAGTCCACAAGTCTTAAAGTTGCCAAGTTTGAAGACCTCTGCTCTTAATGAATTGAACTAATTGTCTCCTGCAAACTCCCCTCCCCTTTCGCTATTCCCTCTGGGAGGGGGCCATTCACCGTCCACCTGTGGCTTTACTCCTGAGTCGACCCTTGTTCTTTAGCTGTTCCCTTCTCCTGGCAGCTCTGTGCATGCACACACTGGGAACAGGCCCCAGCTGTTCTTCTACCCCACTGATGTCCAACTCCAAAGGCAGCTGACAACTGTCAGACGGCCCTGGCCCCCTCTCTGCCTCATCAGCACTCATCAGAGCCTTCCCCAGAGTCCAGGACTGGCCCATGTTCCTCAACAACCTCCTCACTGTCTGAGTCTGCCACCAGCTCCGCTGGCTGCTGGTGGGACACAACAGCTAGCACGAGGTGTGTCTGTGTGTGCATACATGCACTTAAACAAGCCAGCCAATCATGCAGCTTGGTGGCCAACAGGCTACGGCCCGGTAGTGGGCTGTGGCCCACAGGTTGGGGACTCTTGCATTGGGGAACCTCCTCCTCTGATGGGGCCGGACCCGCAAGTGATGTAGAGAGAGACAGTTTGGTGTAATGGTTCAGGTCAGTGGTGGATTGCTTCTGGTTCGCACCGGTTCGCAAGAACCGGTATTAAAAATTTCTAGTAGTTCGGAGAACCGGTAACAACATTGATTGGCCACGTCCCCGAACCGGTCCCCGGCCCGGTCGCTGCTCGCTTACCCCGCCCACCTCATCAGAGGCTTTTTTTTTTTTTTTTTTACTTTTAAAAGCATTTTCTCTACAACCTTTTTGGCTGAAAAAATGCTTTTAAAAGTTAAAAAAAAGCCTCTGATGATCGCACGGCTCAGCTGGGATCGTCAGAGGCTTTTAAAAGCATTTTTTTCTGCAACCTCTTCGGTGCTTTTTCAAGAGGCAACTGGACTTCCTGATTTTTCTTTGAAGACGTTTCGCTTCTCATCCAAGAAGCTTCTTCAGCTCAGACTGGATGGTGGGGAATGGAAGGGTTTATACCCCTTGCAGACAGCCGGTCACTTGCATCCTTTTTAGAGAGACGGTGAGGCCACTTGGAGATTTGTCTGAGTGCTCGGTTTCAAAGAAACACCAGAAAATCCAGTTGCCTCCTGAAAAACAAAAAAAAAGCACCTTAGGGACAACCCTTTGTTTAATGCTAGTCTGTTTAGTTTACTGCTAGTCCTCATGGAGGACGTCCCGTTCACCTACTTCCTGGCACGGTGTGCCAGTTGGCTCCGTTGATGATGTTTCCCTCCTGCATGAAGTCCTCGTAGTGGCACAGCCGCCGTTCGTCGTCCACCATCACCAGGTTGGAGGTGGCGTAGACATGGGCCAGCCATCGGAAGACGGCGTCGTCGGCGGTGGGGGTCAGCTCCTGGGCTTTCCAGTAGGTGCGGGTCATGTCGAAGGGGTAGGTCACCACCAGCTCCCCTCCGTGCAGGTTGGCGCTCAGGACGAAGGGGTAGCGCTGCATCCAGCTGATAACCGCCCGGGTTTCTGGGGCAACCTTGGCAGGAAGGAAACAGTTCAGGATGAGCCAGACCAGAGATGCCCTCCCTTTAGGGCAGGGGTCTCCAAGATGGGGCAACTTTACAATTTGTGGACTTCTGGCAGTTGAAGGCCACAAGGCCGGCTGAGGAATTCTGGGAGTTGAAGGCCACAAGACTGGCTGCCTGAGGAATTCTGGGAGTTGAAGGCCAGAAGGCCAACTGAGGAATTCTGGGAGTTGAAGGCCAGAAGGCCGACTGAGGAATTCTGGGAGTTGAAGGCCACAAGACTTGCTGGCTGAGGAATTCTGGGAGTTGAAGGTCATGAGGCTGCTGGCTGGCTGAGGAATTCTGGGAGTTGAAGGCCAGAGGTTGACTGAGGAATTCTGGGAGTTGAAGGCCAGAAGGTTGACTGAGGAATTCTGGGAGTTGAAGGCCAGAAGGTTGACTGAGGAATTTGGGAGTTGAAGGGACTGAGGAAGGGGTTGAAGGCCAGAAGGCCGACTGAGGAATTCTGGGAGTTGAAGGCCACAAGACTGGCTGGCTGAGGAATTCTGGGAGTTGAAGGCCAGAAGGCCGACTGAGGAATTCTGGGAGTTGAAGGCCAGAAGGCCAACTGAGGAATTCTGGGAGTTGAAGGCCACAAGACTGGCTGCCTGAGGAATTCTGGGAGTTGAAGGCCACAAGAAGGCTGAGGAATTCTGGGAGTTGAAGGCCAGAAGGCCGACTGAGGAATTCTGGGAGTTGAAGGCCAGAAGGCCAACTGAGGAATTCTGGGAGTTGAAGGCCACAAGATGGCTGCCTGAGGAATTCTGGGAGTTGAAGGCCAGAAGGCCAACTGAGGAATTCTGGGAGTTGAAGGCCACAAGTCTGGCTGCCTGAGGAATTCTGGGAGTTGAAGGCCAGAAGGCAGATTGAGGAATTCTGGGAGTTGAAGGCCAGAAGGCCAACTGAGGAATTCTGGGAGTTGAAGGCCAGAAGGTCAACTGAGGAATTCTGGGAGTTGAAGGCCACAAGACTGGCTGCCTGAGGAATTCTGGGAGTTGAAGGCCAGAAGGCAGATTGAGGAATTCTGGGAGTTGAAGGCCACAGATTGTAAACTTGCCAAGGTTGGAAACGATTGTTAAAGTGCATTTTACGGCCCCTGGGCCACATCGGGCCTTTTGACTGTCCCTGTTCAGCCCCCGTAGATTGCTTTTACAGGTGGTCCTCGACTTACAGTCATTCGTTTAGTGACCGTTCGAAGTTACAACGGCATTGAAAAAAGGGACAGGGCCGTTTTTCACACTTGCAGCATCCCCTTGGTCACATAATTAAAATTCAGACGCTTGGCAACTGACTCATATTTATGACCATGTCCCGAGGTCACATGATCCCCTTTTGCAACCTTCCGACAAGCAAGGGGTGGGGAGACCCAGATTCACTTAACGACCTTTTGCTAACTTAACAACTGCAGTCTTAACAGCCCTTAACAACTGTGGCAAGGACGGTCGTAAGATGGAGCAGAGTTCACTTAACTACTGACTCGCTTAGTCCCAAAAAAGGAAACTTTGGGCTCCACTGTGGTCGTACAGCGAGGTCAGCCTGTGTCCAATTGGTCTATTGTAGTGCCATGCTTGAAAAGGGGGAGGGGAGGAGGAGAGGTATGAAGATGGGGGAAGCTGGGCATCCGGGTCAGCCCTCTGCTAAGGGGGCACGGGGGTGGGACTCACCGTGGCGTTGGGGAAGGTATATGACTCCGGGATGGGGATGTAGTGGTTGGGGAACTTGTGGGGCACCAACTCGGCATCCTCGGCGTCCCACAGCTCCGTGTTGAGGTCGGCAAAGTTGTGGTTGAGATCAAAGCCTTCGTACGTCCATCGGCCCATCGCCCAGCCGGACAGCTCCGAGCCCTGCAGAGTCGCCAGAAAAATGAGGGGATTGGAGACCCCATTCGGTGCCTCTCCGGATGACCGGCCTGGGGAGTTTGGTAATCCACTCCCCAATTGCATCTTCCCAGGCCCCCTGAGCAGGAAGGCAGGACATGTGGTGGGACTCAGCTACCAAGGATGTCCATCTGGAGGGATCTGGGAAAAGGGCCTTCTTGGTGGTGGCTCCCTCCCTGTGGAACCTCCTTTCCCAGGGGTAAGATGGGCTTCCCCTTTGCTGCTTTTCCCCAAAGTTTTGATCACTGGTTTGATGAGTGGGCCTGGGGACCCCCACTCGGGTGCCTTGTTTGAGTGTGGGCTAAAGGGTAAGTTTTTAACTGGGGAGGAGGGAAGGAAGGAAAGAGAGAGGGAGGAAGAAGGAAGGAGGAAGGAGAAGGGAGGTGGAAGGAGAAAGTGGAAGGGAGGGAGGGAGGGAGGAAGGAAGGGAAAAAGGAGGAAGAGAAAGAAGAAGGGAGGAGGGAGGAGGAAGTAGGAAGGGGAAGGGAGGGAAAGAGGCAGGGAGGGAGGAAGGAAAAGAAAAAGGAAGGAAGAGAAAGAAAAGGAAGGAAAGAGAAAAAAAGAAAAGGGAAGGGAGGGAGGAACAAGGAAGGAAGGGAGGAAGGGAAGAAAATGGGAGGGAGGGAGGAGAGGGGGAAGGGGAGGGAAGGAAGGAAGGAGAGAGGGAGGAAGGGGGAAGGGGAAGGAAGGGAGGAAGGAGAAAGGAAGGAAGAGAGAAAGGAGGAAGAGAAAGAAAGAAGGAGGGAGGGGGGGAGGGAGGAGGAAGGGGAAGGGAGGGAAAGAGGCAGGGAGGGAAGAAGGAAGGAAAAGAAAAAGGAGGAAGGAAGAGAAAGAAAAGGGAAGGGAAGGGAGGGAGGAAGGAACCAGGAACAAAGAAATGAAGGAATGAAAGATAGGAGGAAGGAAGGAAGGAAGTAAAAGAAAGAGAAAGAAAGAAAAAAAGAAAAAAAGAAAGAACTTCTCACTACCCTCCAACCCATCCTGGATTCAGACGAGGTTTCCTTTGTAACTGGGGGCCTTTCCGGATCGAATCCGTCCGAGCGTGGCCCCTTCACTCCAGAAACTTACTTTAAACTTTATTTTTTGGGGCGTTTGCAAGACTTTTGCGACATCAATCTCACGAGTGCCATTTTGGTAGAGGAAAGCAGAGTTGGCGAGAGGAATGGGGTGGCTGTCCAAGGACACACACACACACACACACACACACACAGTGCCACTGTGCCACGCACCAGCTTGTAGGCCGTCTCATAACCATCGGGGTTCATGGAGGGCATCAGGTGGATCCGAGTCTCGGTGACCAGCCTCCGGATACGAGGGTTGCCTTGCTTGTATTCCTGGCACAGGTACTCCATCAGGTTGAGCACCAGCTCCCGGCCCAGCGCCTCGTTGCCGTGCATGCCGGCCACGTAGCGGAACTCCGGTTCGCCTGCAATGGTGGAGGGATAACGTCCTGGGGGTGTGTTGAGGGATCAAAGGACCCCGTTTGTGGATTCCCCCCCAAAACCTTGAGACAGAGCAGTATCTCTCAACCTTGGTAAGTGGGAAATGGATGGACTTCAACTCCCAGAATTCTTTGCTGGCTGGAGGATTCTGGGAGTTGAAGTCCACTCAACTTGCCTGGGTTGAAAAATACTGGATAAACTAGATTGCAAGGTCGGCTGGGGGATTCTGGGAGTTGAAGTCCACCCAATTTGAAACACTGGATAAACTAGGTCAGGGATCAGCACCTTAAACACTCAAAGAGCCATTTGGACCCGTTTCCCACAGAAAAGAAAACACCGGGAGCCACAAAACCCTTCCCGTGCCTGACTATTCTTGAGCGGCCACAAAACTAGCATATGTAGTTGAATTAAATGTTCTGTTTTCTTCTGGAACTTTTCTTTTCTTGGATTTATTCATGGTTGGCCTACCGGGGGTTGAAAAACTCAATAAATCGCGTGCTGACGGGTGTCGCACATTGGCGGTTGTGACACATATTTTGAGTGACGGAGCCGCAGCAGAGGGGTGAAAGAGCCACATGCGGCTCCAGAGCCGCAGGTTGCTGATCCCTGAGCTAGATAGATTCTCGGACTCAGTTGGCAGAGAAGCTCCTTGTCAATGGAAACAAGCCACGATTCCCGTCTTCTGCAGCCAAACTCCAATTAAACTCTCTTCCTGCAAAACGGAGAGAGCATCCCGAGATGTCACTCACCTACTTCGTGCTTCCCGGGGTTGTCTGAAATCTCCATGACGTACATTTTCAAGCCCAGGTAACTTTTCCCGATGCTGTATATCCTGGTGATATTCGGACAAGCGTCGCTGACTTTTTTCAACAGCTGCCGGGAGAAAATTAAATTTCTCTAAATTAATATCTCTGAAATGGAAGAATTGATGGTGATCGGATATGATTTTTTTCCGTCCCTTTCGGGGTTAAGGTTAGAAGCAATGGGTGGAAACTAATCAAAGAGAGAAGCAATCTAGAACTAGAACTGAGAAATTTCCTGACAGTGAGAACAATTAACCAGTGGAACAGCTTGCCACCAGAAGTTGTGAATTCTCCAACACTGGAAGTTTTTAAGAAGAGATTGGACATCCATTTATCTGAAATTGGCCTGAATAGGGGGTTGGACTAGAAGACCTCCAAGGTCCCTTCCAACTCTGTTATTCTATTCTGTTCCTTCCGTGGTTCTTGAGTACTTTGATAATCATTTTCTAAGAGAAGAGAATGAATTAAGAGCCGAGCCCTGGAGCCAGTGGTGGGTTGCTCCCGGTTCGCAAGAACTGGTAGTAAAAATTTGTAGTAGTTCGGAGAACCGGTAATAACATTGGCTGGCCACGCCCCTGAACCGGTCCCCGCCCCGGTGACACTCCCTTACCTCGCCCTCCTCTTCAGAGGCTTTTTCTTTTTTTTTACTTTTAAAAGCATTTTTTCTACAACCTCTTCCGCCGAAGAGGTTGTAGGGAAAAAAAAAGCCTTCAAAAGCCTCTGGCGATCCCAGCTGTCTTGCCTGATCGTCAGAGGCTTCTAAAAGCATTTTTTTCTGCAACCTCTTAAGGTTGTAGAAAAAAAGCTTTTAAAAGTAAAAATAAAATAAAAAGTTGGCCAAGCCCACCCAGTCACATTACCCCCCCCACCAAACCACGCCCACAAAATAAGCCACGCCACAGAACCGGTAGTAAAAAAAATTAGAACCCACCCTGCCTGGAGCCCCTCGCGAGAAAGAACCCACCTTCCTCATCTCCTTGTAGTTGTGATGCCTAAAATCCAATTTATCGTTGGTGCCAGGAGTGTGTTCCCACGGATAAATGTTGTTGGGATCTGGAAAGGAGCACAGGATGCGTAAATTAAAACTACGGCAAGGTGTTTTATCGACAAAGGAAGATGGGAGAAAAAAAAACATTTTTGTTGGGGTGGATCCAATTGATAGTGGACCAAAGGTGAGTGGCTGGATAAAAAATGGCGCATATAGGTTGTCAACTTACAATGACTCTCCATCTGAGAGCTGATGGACGGCCAGGCTCTGCCTCTGTCCCTCTCTCTCTGCCACCTCCATTCCCTCTTCCCCACCTCGGAGCTCCCAGGTTCTGGAGAACCGGTAGCGGAAATTTTGAGCAGTTCAGAGAACCGGCAAATGCCACCTCTGGTTGACCCCAGAGTGGGGTGGGAATGGAGATTTTGCAATATCCTTCCTCCAGGAGTGGGGAGGGAATGGAGATTTTGCAGTATCTTTCCCCAGGAATGGGGAGGGAATGGGGATTTTGCAATATCCTTCCCCCAGGAGTGGGGCTGGAATGGGGATTTTGCAATATCCTTCCCCAGGAGTGGGGCTGGAATGGGGATTTTGCAATATCCTTCCCCCAGGAGTGGGGAGGGAATGGGGATTTTGCAATATCCTTCCCCAGGAGTGGGGAGGGAATGGGGATTTTGCAGTATCTTTCCCCAGGAGTGGAGAGGGAATGGGGATTTTGCAGTATCTTTCCCCTTGAGTGGGGAGGGAATGGGGATTTTGCAGTATCTTCCCCCAGGAGTGCAGAGGGAATGGAGATTTTGCAGTGTCTTTCCCCTGGAGTGGGGAGGGAATGGGGATTTTGCAATATCCTTCCCCCAGGAGTGGGGAGGGAATGGGGATTTTGCAATATCCTTCCCCCAGGAGTGGGGAGGGAATGGGGATTTTGCAGTATCTTTCCCCAGGAGTGGGGAGGGAATGGGAATTTTGCAATATCCTTCCCCCAGGAGTGGGGAGGGAATGGGGATTTTGCAGTATCTTTCCCCAGGAGTGCAGAGGGAATGGAGATTTTGCAGTGTCTTTCCCCTGGAGTGGGGAGGGAATGGGGATTTTGCAATATCCTTCCCCAGGAGTGGGGAGGGAATGGGGATTTTGCAATATCCTTCCCCAGAGTGGGAGGGAATGGGGATTTTGCAGTATCCTTCCCTGGAGTGGGGAGGGAATGGGGATTTTGCAATATCCTTCCCCAGGAGTGGGGCTGGAATGGGGATTTTGCAATATCCTTCCCCCAGGAGTGGGGAGGGAATGGGGATTTTGTAGTATCTTTCCCCTGGAGTAGGATGGGAATGGAGATTTTGCAGTATCCTTCCCTTGCCACGCCCATCAAGCCACACCCACAGAACCGTTAGTAAAAAAAAAAAAAAGGATTTCACCACTGCATGGGCCTACCTGGCAGGGCACATCCCAGGATCTCGGCTCTCAGGCAAATCGTCTCGTTCTCGAACCAGGTTTGAGGATTGATCCGGATGTAGCGTGCCACGACCGGCTCGGGCAGCAAATTGAGGACGGGGGTCTCGAGTTCCTTGTTGGCTGGGAAAACCTGGAAGGAACAAAGTCGGAGCGAAATAAATCAGATTTTCTACACATTTGGCCGGGGGATTCCCCAGCAGAGACCAGCTGCCCCCTCCCCAAATCTCTGCGATCTGCTGATTCTGGCCCAATGCTCCCCCACCACCATGTCCTTTTCCTTGGGCGAAGGACAGAGGGGCTACCCATCGGTCTTCGATTTGCTTGGCGCCTTCAGTTGGCACATCCTTGGATTTGGACGTCGTGGTCAGCCCCGTGGTGCCAAGAGGCAGCTCCGTTTCAGGGTTGGGCTCAAAAGAAGAAATGCTGGCAAGGGAAGGAAATGCGATGGGAGAAAATTTTGGGCTCCGAAAAAGATCATATCCAGACGGGGTGGGGGAAAAAAAAAAGGAACCAGAACTCTGGAACGCCGGTCAAATTTGAAGTCCTGCGGCTTTTGCTGCCCAACATATCTTTTCAGGCTACCCCAAGTTTCTGTTCCTTCTGCTGAGAAATGTACAGATCGTTCTTGAAGATATTGGGGAAAAAAAATCTAGATATCTGCTGGGTGTATTTTTCCTTTCTGTTTTTTTCCCCCCTTTGAGTTTTGCATGACAAGCGAGTTGCCCGACCGAAGTGCGGTTGAGAAAGTCCACTCCTGGAATCAGTGGGGAAATCTAAATTTCTTTCCTACCGGTTCTGTGGGCGTGGCCTGGTGGGGCGTGGCTTGTTGGGGGGGGGTCGTCATGTGACTGGGTGGGTGTGGCTATCTAACCATGTGACCGGGAGATCAAAAGACAGAAACTCACTAACAATGTCCTGCTGGAGCGGGGTTGGACTAGATGACCTCTAGGTCCCTTTCAGCCCTGGATTATCCTCTGAAGCTGCGTCTAGTGCCAGATTTGTAGTCCTTCCTTCCTCTCCTTTTTCCCTCCCCTCCCTCCCTCCCTCCCTCCTTCCTTCCCTCTCTCCCTCCCCCCTCCTTCCTTCCTTTCTTCCCTCCCTCCCTCCTACCCAACCTCCTTCCTTCCTTCCCTCCCTCCCTCCCTTCCCTCCCTCCTTCCTTCCTTCCTTCCCTCCCTCCTTTCTTCCCTCCCTCCCTCCTCCTTCCTTCCTCCTCCCTCTCTCTTCCTTCCTCCTCCCTCCCTCCCTTCCCTCCTTTCTTCTTTCCCTCCCTCCTTCCTTCCTTCCCTCCCTCCTCCCTACCTTCCTTCCCTCCTCCCTTCCTTCCTTCCTTCCCTCCCTCCCTCCTTTCTTCCCTCCCTCCTTCCTTCCTTCCTTCCCTCCCTTCCTCCTTTCTTTCCTCCCTCCCTCCTTCCTTCCTTCCCTCCCTCCTTCCTTCCTTCCCTTCCTCTTTTCTTCCCTCCCCCTCCTTCCCTCCCTCCCTCCCTCCTTCCTTCCCTCCCTCCCTCCTTTCCTTCCTTCCTCCCTCCCTCCTTCCTTCCTTCCCTCCCTCCCTCCTTCCTACCTTCCTTCCCTCCTTCCTTCCTACCTTTCTTCCTTCCCTCCTTCCTTCCTTTTCTTCTTTTTCCTTCCCTCTTCATTCTCCTTCCTTCCCCTCTTCTTTTTTCCCCTTCCCTCCTCTCTTCCCATCTTCCCTTCTTTTTTTTTCTTCGTCTTTCCTCTTTCCCTTTCTCCTCTCCTGTCCCTTCTTGGATGCTCAAATGCAAAAGGGGAAACATTTCTCAATGCCTCCTCGCCTTAGGATCAAATGCCACTTTTGCTAATCGTTTCTTTCGACTAGCCCTCTGCCAGCCAAAAAACAGGAGCTCCGTTTTCGCTGGCAGAGGCTCTTAAAAGCATTTTTTCTACAACCTCTGAAGAGGTTGTAGAAAAAATGCTTTTAAAAGCCTCTGACGATCCCAGCTGAGCCGCACGATCATCAGAAGCTTTTTTTTTTTTTTACTTTTAAAAGCATTTTTTCGGCCAAAAACGTTGTAGAAAAAATGCTTTCAAAAACTAAAAAAAAAAAAGCCTCTGATGATCGCGCGGCTCAGCTGGGCATGGGGGGGAGGACAGGGATTTTTGCTACCGGTTCTCCGAACCACACGCCTCCATCGCTACCGGATCAGGCGATCCGGTCCGAACTGGGAGCATTTCACCCCTGCGCCTGATATAATATGATATGAGCGTACCCCCCTTCTACTCCTCTTGCACACAACTTTGTGAATAGCCCTTCGAAGCTTGCTCGGTCCTCCTCCCCTCTTCGGACTTACCACTTCTTGGCTCCCATTTTTGGAAGGCCTCCAGCGATGAGTGTCGTTGCTAAACTGGATTTTGTACGACGTCACCCAGCTGTAACTGGAGGAAGAAGAGAAACGGGCGGTTCAGAACAGGCTAGTGGAAAAAGAGAGGATTCGCACTCGGCTCTTTGTAATATCACTGCTTCAACCGGCATCCACAGCCTACTGGGTTAACTTCCATCGTCCTCAGAATCTCAGCTACAGTTTTCGTAAGGGTACGGGTAGTCCTCGATGTACGACTGTAATGGAGACTGCCCGTTATAGGTAGTCCTCGACTTACGACTGCAATTGGGGCCCACCCCACAAAAAAATTCTTTTGCTAAGCGAGACAGTTGTTAGGTGATCTGTGTCCCGTTTTACGACCTTCCTAGCCACGGTTGTTAACGGAAGCGCTGCCATTGTTAAACGAGGAACGCGGTTGTTAAGCGAATCTTTGAATTTGTTTATCAGAAGGTCGCAAAAGGGGATCGCGCAACCCCCCCCCGGGACACTGCGACCGTCAACAAGGAAGCCAGACACACTTAACCATTGCAGTGATTCACTGTGACTAGAAAGGTCGTAAAACGAGGCAAAACTCACTTAGCCAGTGTCTCCCTTAGCAACAGAGGTTTTGGGCTCCATTGTGGTCATAAGTCAAGGACTTCCTGTTTGACTTAGTAAGAAAAGGTGGTTCATGCGTTATGTTAAGGCAAGGCTTCCACAACAGGCTCCATCACAGAATAACTGAGTTGGAAGGGGCCTTGGAGGTCTTCTAGTCTGACTCCAAGGTCCAGTAGAAAACCCTGTACCAATTCAGTCCAATTTCTTCTTGAAAAACCTCCATTGATGGAGCACTCACAACTTCTGGTGGCAAGCTGTTCCACTGGCTAATAGTTGGAAATTCCCATCACCGACTGCCCAGCCTAAGCCAGGGATCGCGAACCTTTTGGGGCTGGGAAAAGCTGGACCGGCGGAAGAAGGTTTGCGCCTCCCAGCCTCCGCGAGAGACTTACGTCCAGATGGAGTTCAGCGCTTGGGTGATCACCCGGTGAAGCGCGTCAGGCGCCTGGCATCAATTTCCAGCCACTGGTCCTGGTCGTTGTATCCGGCGCACCAACCTCCGTCGTACAAATCGCCGTCGTGAATTCCAGACTGGGGGGGGGGGAGGAAAGCGGAACGGAAAGAAAAGTGATCTTCAAGAGGGCAGGAAGACTTGGACGTGCGTACGGGTGGGTGTTTGGGGGTGTCTTTGGGGGGTGTGTGAGAGAGAGAGAGGGAGGGAGGGAGAGGGAGAGAGACAGAAGATAGATGATAGACAGATAGATAGATAGATAGATAGATAGATAGATAGATAGATGGAGGGAGGGGAAGAGAGAAAGGGAAAGAGGGAGAGAGACAAGATAGATGATAGATGATAGATAGATAGATAGAGAGATGGAGGGAGTGGGAGAGGGAAAGAGGGAGAGAGACAAGATAGATGATAGATAGATAGATAAAGGGAGAGAGAGGGAGAGGGACGGAGAGAGAGAGAGACAGAAGATAGATTATGGATAGATAGATAGATAGAGGGAAGGAGAGAGGGAGGGAGAAGATAGATAGAGAAAGAGAGGGAGGGAGGGAGAGGGGGAGAGAGAGGAGAGGGAGAAAGAAAGAAAGAAAGATAGATAGATAGATAGATAGATAGATAGATAGATAGATAGATAGTTAGATAGAGGGGGAGAGAGGGAGAGAGAGGGAGGGAGAGGAGGGAGAAGATAGAGAAAGAGAGGGAGGGAGGGAGAGAGAGGGAGAGAGAGGAGAAAGGGGGAGAAGAAAATGGAGGAGCAGGGGATGGAGGAGGAGAAGAAAGGGATGGAGGAAGGAGAAGAAACGAGAAGGAGAAATGGATGGAGGAGAAGGAGGGATGGAGGAGAAAGGAGAGAAGAAAATGGAGGAGGAGGAGAAGAAACTGGTGGAGAAGGAGAAGTGGATGGAGGAGGAGGAGAAATGGATGAAGGAGAAGGAGGGATGGAGGAGAAAGGGGGAGAAGAAAATGGAGGAGGGGGATGGAGGAGGAGGAGAAGAAACTGGTGGAGAAGGAGAAGTGGATGGAGGAGGAGAAGGAAGGGATGGGGAAGAAAGAGGGATGGAGGAGAAAGGGGGAGAAGAAAATGGAGGAGGAGGAGGAAGAGGAGGTGGGCCTTCTTCATTCTGGCTCTGCTTGGAGGGCAAAGGGAGTACGTAAAGCTTGAAGTCCTCTCCTGGAGGCCCTGTGGGACATCTCCATCGCAGCCATTTGGCCTTCAATTCACTCTCTTTGAGGAGGTCCTCACCCTGGGACGATTGCCAGGGCTTTAGAAGGCGGAGCTGCTTAATGACCAGCTCATCCCTTTTCCAGGGAAACTGTCAGAGAGGGAGGGAAGGAGAGCGAGACAGAACGAGAGAGGGGGGAGGGGAGGGAGAGAGAGAGAAAGGGAGAAAGAAAGAAAGAAAGAAAGAAAGAAAGAAAGAAAGAAAGGGATGGAGGGAGGGAGGGAGGGAGGAAGGGGGAGACAGTGAGTGAGTGTGTGTGTGTGTGTGTGAGAGAGAGAGAGAGAGAGCTTTGCAATTCCCACTGGAGTTTTGGGGTGCCCCAATTTCCATCTGGCGGGAGCTTTATCCCCCTCGCTTCCCAGAAGTTCCGCTTCCCACCTGCAGCCCATTTCACCCCATTGCCCCCCCTTCTCCTCCCCACTTCTCCCACTCTCACCAAGGAGGGAGGGAGGGTTCTGCCTGCTGGGACCAGCATGTGCAACCAGGACGAACAAAGGAAGGGGCAGGACAACAGCCGTCTCCCTCTGCCCCACATCGGCCCCCAGGAACATGGTCGGCCTGCCCTTTGCAACTAACTATCAATCAGAACACAGCCGGAAGGGACCTTGGAGGTCTTCTAGTCCAACCCCGTGCTCAAGAAGGAGACCCCAAACCCGTGATGGCAAACCTATGGCACATGTGCCACGGGCGGCATGTGGAGCCGTATCTGTGGGCACGCGAGCGTTGCCCTAGCTCAGCTCCAGCACGCATGTGCACGCCTGCTAGCTGATTTTCGGGCCTTCCGGCGCCACCGGAAGTCAGGAAATGGGCTGTTTCCGGCCTCGGGAGGGCCTCTGGGCGGGTGGGGAAGGCAGTTTTCACCCTCCCCAGGCGCCTAGAAAGGCTCTGGAGCCTGGGGAGGGCGAAAAACAAGTATACTGGGCCCATAGTCCCATCATGTGCCAAAAGCAGGTCGTGCATATATGCCCAGGGGGGCAGGGGGCATTGAATTATGGGTGTGGGCACACATGCGTGACCCCCCCCTGCCCCGCACTCCCCCCGTGCATGCCTGTTTTTTTGGACCATTTTCAGGCTGTTTTTTGGGCTCTTTTCAGGCCATTTCCCCAGCTCTTTTTCCAGCTGTTTTTCCAGTGCTCCAGTGCCCGCGAAGACCAGCTGAAAACCAGAAGAGCGCCTGGCGACAGCATGCGTTCCCATAGAGAGGGCTCTGTATGCCACCTCTGGCACGCGTGCCATAAATTCGCCACAGGGGTGGGTTCTACTTACCTTTACTACTGGTTCTCCTTGTGTGCACGCTTTGCACGCGATTGCCTCTTCAGTCACGTGCTTTGCGCGCGATCACTGCTTTTATGCTCGTTCGCTCTCAGGACACCAAATTTACGCTTCGCGCAAGCGCGTTGCGAATCTGCCCAGCTGAGGTGCGGCAATCCGCTCTGCCGCACCTCTCAGCTGGGCGAAAAAAGCCGACATATAAGGTCGGCATAACGCCGGGACGGGCAGGAGGGCCCAGCTCCCGAAGACAGAGAACCGGTTCGGTGACGTCATATCGTCCTCCGCTACCAGCTTTTGCGAACCGGGCTGAACCGGGAGGAACCCACCACTGGTTCGCCATCATGGGTATAGGGTCTCCTTCCTGAGCAGGGGGTTGGACTAGAAGACCTCCAAGGTCCCATCCAACCCAATTATTCTATGTTCTTGAATAAGCCTTCACTCTGTGTTCTCCAAAGCACCAAGAGGGCAGGACAATGGGTGGAAACTAATCAAGGAGAGAAGCAACCCGGAATTAAAGAGAAACTTCCTAACAGTGAGGACAATTAACCAGTGGAACAGCTTGCCACCAGAAGTTGTGGATGCTCCATCACTGGAGGTTTTTAAGAAGAGACTGGACAGCCACTTGTCTGAAATGGTCTATATCAGGGGTGAAATCCAACAGGTTCTGACGGGTTCTGGAGAACTGGTAGCAGAAATTTTGAGCAGTTCGGAGAACCGGCAAATACCACCTCTGGCTGGCCCCAGAGTGGGGAGGGAATGGGGATTTTGCAGTATCTTTCCCCCTGCCACGCCCACCAAGCCACGCCCACAGGGTCTCCTGCCAGAGCAGGGGGTTGGACTAGAAGACCTCCAGGGTCCCTCCCAACCCTGTTATTCTGTTATTCGATTGTATGACGGTTTTGTTCCCTCTGCAGGCAAAGACCATGCTGGATCCCACAGCCAGCACCTACGGCGTGAACTCCCAACGATGGGGGCCTTACCTGGATGTTGAGGCGCCCACGGTGAGGGCCGAGTCCGTCCCGCTTGGAACTGGAAGCTCGCAGTTGGGAGTCCCGGACTCTCAGAGACTCGAGACCCAGCGGAGGGCATTCTGGTTGGGGAAGAAGAAGGAAAGGAATGGAGGGATGTGTTGTGACTCCGACCCCCGAGCCCGTCTTATCGGAGGGAGAAGACTCCGAAGGTGAAGAAGAGGAGTTGGCCAGGCCTTTCTCTCCAGGACCCTCCTCTCTGGCAATGCCTCAGGTGTCTCCCGAGGGAGAAGAGATTGGCCAGAAGCCAGGTATCTCTGAACAGTCTCAGTCGGACAGTGATGGAGATAAGTCTTGGCTGGATCCACACCAGTGTCAGAAAGACAAGCGCACGCAGCAGAGAAGGAGGCGTGCCAAAGACTAAGTTGAGTCACTGGACCACACCCCACAGGGGATAAAAGGGGGTGTGGTGGTCATTCAGGCTCTGTGACGGGCAAAACTAAACAACTAGCGAGTCGCATTGTATCTCTGAAACTACGTTATCTGCCTGCCTTGGATTTAATACGGACTGGACTTGACAATTCTTTGACTTTGTGTCTTTGTTTTGGTTTATCTGACGGAGGAGGAAAACCTCCCTCTGTGAGTAAAGTTCTTGGCAAGCAGCTCCTGGGTTGCTGCCAATCCTGTTATCGAAGGAATTTATTGTCTGCAAGTTTTATTTAACCCCTGGCTGACTGTTTGTGTGCGTGTGTGAGACGGGGACAGAACAGGATGGGTGGCCGGGAGACCAAATCAGCTCGGTGAAAGCCCCCTCCCCAGAGACCCCCCCTTCCTCCCTTAGGCATGAAAAGCCAGCTGGGTGACTTTGGGCCCATCATGCGCTCTTCCGGCCCAATTCACAGGGGAGGATCAGGGGGGGAAGGCGTGTATATGGTGGGATAGAAATCCTGTAAATAAGGGAAAAGTGGAGTTCACTCCAAGCCCCCAGGGAAGAGGCTGGAGGGCGGGGAGGGGGCAGGCGTTGGTGTCTGCTCGCTTTTAATTATAATCACGAAAGTATTTCTTGCAGGAGCCACGGCTGAGTCAACCACGCCGAGGGGAAAAAAAAATCAAAAATAAAAAAAATAAATCCAGGCAGAAATGTGATGAGGAGCTGAACCGCAATTTTTAGGAGACCCTCTCTGGGCCTCTTGTCCTCTGCAAGCGCCAGGAGAATTTATGCAGAGTAAGCACTTTGATTCCAAATGGCTCTTTCTTTTTCTTTTCTTTTCTTTTCTTTTCTTTTCTTTTCTTTTCTTTTCTTTTCTTTTCTTTTCTTTCTCTTTCTTTCTTTCTCTTTCTTTCTCTTTCTTCCTTTCTTTCTCCCCTGCCCCCCTTTCCTTTCCTTTCCTTTCCTTTCCTTTCCTTCCTTCCTCCCTTCCTTTCTTTCGTTCTCTCCTGCCCCCTTGTCTTCCCCTCCCCTCCTTTCCTGTTCTTTCCTTTTCCTTTCCTTTCCTTTTTGTTTCTTTCCTTCCCATTCCTTTCCTTTCCTTTCCTTTCCTTTCCTTTCCTTTCCTTTCCTTTCCCTTTCTTTCTTTCTTTCTTTCTTTTCTTTCTTTCTTTCTTTCTTTCTTTCTTTCTTTCTCTTTCTTTTTTCTCCCCTGCCCCCTTGCCTTCCCCTCCCCTCCTTTCCTATCCTTTCCCTTTCCTTTCCTTTCTTCTCCTTTCTTCTCCTTTCCTTTCCTTTCCTTTCCTTTCCTTTCCTTTCCTTTCCTTTCCTTTCCTTTCTTCCTTCCTTCCTTCCCTCCTTCCTTCCTTTCTTTCTTTCTCCCCTGCCCCCTTGCCTTCCCCTCCCCTCCTTTCCTGTTCTTTCCCTTTCCTTTCCTTTCCTTTCTTCCTTCCTTCCTTCCCTCCTTCCTTCCTTCCTTTCTTTCTCCCCTGCCCCCTTGCCTTCCCCTCCCCTCCTTTCCTGTTCTTTCCCTTTCTTTTCCTTTCCTTTCCTTTCCTTTCCTTTCCTTTCCTTTCCTTTCCTTTCCTTTCCTTTCCTTCCCTTCCTTCCCTTCCCTTCCCTTCCCTTCCCTTGCCTTCCCTTTTCACTCCTTTCCCTCACTTCCCTTCCCTCTTCTTCCTTCCCTTTCCTTCCCTTCCCTTCCCTTTCCTTCTCTTTCCTTTCCTCCTTGCCCAGTCGCCAGGATTTTAAAAGCAGCAGGAGAGACCAAAATATGCAAAGCTTTGCTCTCCACCGGCCAAAACAAATGGACAACTGTGAAAGTCCATTGTGGTTGCACCACCGATGCAGGGATGCCAAAAGCCCATCATCCTTTCTTGGAGGATGCCAATCCGTTGATGTCAATCCAGGACATATTGCAGAATTTGCATTTAATTTTGCAGGGGACAAATCCAGAATTGGAGTTTGAAATACAGGGAAGTGAGTGAATGAGTAAGTAAGTAAGTAAAAGGAAGGAAGGAAAGAATTAAAGAGGAAGGAAGGAAGGAGGGAAGGAGGGAAGGAAGGAAGGAAAGAGAGAGAGAGAGAGGAAGAAAAAGGAAGGAAGGAAGGAAGGAGACAGAGAGAGGAAGAGAAGCAGAGAGCAAGGGAGAGGGAGAGAGGGAGGGAGGGAGCGAGAGAGGGAAGAAATAAAGAGAAAGAGAGAGAGAAAGAAAAAGGAGGGAGGGAGGAAGGAAGGAAGGAAGGAAAGAGAGAGGAAGAGAAGTAGAGAGCAAGGGAGAGGGAGAGAGGAAGGGAGGGAGGGAGAGAGAGAGGGAAGAAATAAAGAAAAAGAGAGAGAGAGAGAGAAAGAAAAAAAGGAAGGAAGGAAGGAAGGAAGGAGAGAGAGAGAGAGGAAGAAAAAGGAAGGAAGGAAGGAAGGAAGGAGAGAGAGAGAGAGGAAGAAAAAGGAAGGAAGGAAGGAGAGAGAGAGAGAGAGGAAGGAAAAGGAAGGGAGGAAGGAAGGAGGGAAGGAAGGAAGGAAGGAAGGAAGGGGTGTTTGTTGCACCTTGTCCTTCCCTCCCCATCACTGCACCATGCCTGGGTGAGGAATTCTGGGCGTTGAAGTCAACGGGTCTTAAAGTCCCTAAGGTTGGATACCCTTGACTTAAAGGGAGCACCACATTTCCCACAGCCCCCCATATCCGCCCAAAGCATGCTCAAGGGTGTGACGATCCATGCAAGTTCCTAGTCCTCAGTGCTGCTGTGGCTGGCATCTGCACCCACCAGGAAATGCACCGTTTGGGTTAATTGAAAAAAAAAAATCATCGGAAAGTCAATCTTTTTTCCCCCCCACTCATTGAAAACAAAAACTCCAGGATGCAAGAGGGATGGGAAGAGAGGCCCCTCTTTAGGAGACAGCTGCTGTGCATTTCCTCTTGGCCTCCTGTCCTCCCCTCCTGCTGTTTTCCTCACTGTTGCTTTTGCTTTTGCAACGTTTTTATTTTCTTCGTTGAAAGCTGCCTTTCTTTCTCCGGGCGAGAACCGGCTGTCCCTTTCTCAGCTGGCAGGCTGACGGCTTCCAGATTTCTGGAACTGACCGGCAGAGCTGCAGCCAAACCCAACAACTCAATGCCACCGGAAGCCTGGAAAGCCAAAAAAAAAGAAAAAAAAAACGGAACCGTCTTTCCAAGAACGATCCGAAAGAGCACAAAGTGGCATCCGGAGATCGGAGAATCCGAGTGTCCCTCGATGAAAAAAAGCTACAAATTCAGGAAAGTTCGGAAAGTCTAATTCTTGAAATGTGTCTCCTAGACTTAGGACCACAATTTTAGCCCAACGCGTCTGTTGTTAAGTGAGACGTTTGTTAAGTGAGTCTTGCCCCATTTTACAACCTTTCTTGCCACTGTTGTTAAGTGAATCACTGCAGTTGTTAAGTTAGTAAGCCGGTTGTTCAGTGAATCTGTTACGGGAATTTTCCCATTGAGAGAGAGAGAGAGAATGGAGAAAGATAAAAACAGATAGGAGGTAGATTAGAGGGAGGCAGACAAGCAAACAAACAGGAGATAGATACAGTGATGATGATGAGAGATAGATGATAGATAGATAGATGATAGATAGATAGATAGATAGATAGATAGATAGATAGATAGATGATAGATAGATAGATAGATAGATAGATAGATGTTAGATAGATAGATAGATAGATAGCAGATAGATAGATAGATAGATAGATAGATAGATAGATAGATAGATAGATAGATAGATAGATGTGAGAGATGATAGAGAGATAAAGAGATGGATGGATGGATGGATGGATAGATGGATAGATAGATGATATAGATGATAGATTAATAGATCGATCTGAGTGCTTTGGGAGAATGGCGGCATATAAATCGCAAAAATAAATAAATAAATAAATCGATCATAGAGAGATGACAGAGAGAAAGAGAGAGAGAAAAAGATAGATAGAGATAGATAGATGAAAGATAGATGAGAGAGATAATAGAGAGAGAGAGAAAGATGGATGGATGGCTATAGATAGATAGATAGACAGACAGACAGACAAAAAATATAGACAGATAGATGAGAGAGAGAAAGAGAAAGAGATGAGAGAGATGAGAGAGATAATAGAGAGGGGGGGAAAGATGGATGGATGGAGATAGATAGATAGACAGACAGACAGATAGTTAGACAGACAGATGAGAGAGAGAGAGAGATAATAGATGTGTGTGAGAGATGATAGATAGATACATAATAGATAGATGAGAGAGATAATGAGACAGACAGAGAGATATTTCTTAGAGAGTTCCACAAGTCTTAAAGTTGCCACAGTTGGAGACCCTGCCCTGCTCCAGAGGACGTGGGCCGCTTGTCCCACCCCCCAAAAAGGCCCTGCCTGGGATGATGGGTGTTGCAGTCCAGCCTTCTGAAAGGGGACTGTGGGTCAGAGGAGCTCAGAGCTGGCCCAGGGGAAACAAAGTGCCCAGGCAGCATCTCTGGTTGAGGAGGAGGAGGAGGAGGAGGAGGAGGAGGAGGAGGGGCAAAGAGGGACGAAGGACCTACCGGATGCCTCTGGAGTGGCCATTTCCGGCTTTAGCAGCTTTTGGATCTTCTTCTTCAAAACCTTTTTCTTGACTATTTTGACCCGGAGAGGCTTTTTCGGAGCTGGGGAAAAGTAAAACCACACGACAGGTCAGTTTCCTTTCAACAGTTAATTATGGTAATCTCTCTCTCTCTCTCTCTCTCTCTCTCTCTCTCTCTCTCTCTATCTCTCTATCTATCTATCTATCTATCTATCTATCTATCATCTATCTATATCAATCTCTATCTTTCTATCTATCTCTATCTCTATCTCTATCTCTATCTATCTCTATCTCTATCTCTATCTCTATCTCTATCTCTATCTATCTCTATCTCTATCTCTATCTATCTCTATTTCTATTTATCTCTATCTGTCTAATCTCTATCTATCTATCTCTATCTATTTCTATCTATCTCTATCTATCTCTATCTCTATCATCTATCTATCTATCTATCTATCTATCTATCTATCTATCTATCTATCTATCTATCTATCTCTGTCTCCCTCCCCCTCCCCCCGTCTGTCTATTGGTCTGTCTATCTATCGTCTATCATTATCTATTCTCTCTCTCTCATCTCTCTATCAGATTTAGAAACTGCCCATTTCCCTCACACATTAGATGCCAGTTGGATTATATTGACAAATATTCTTGACATTTATTAGGTGGTTGTTGATATTATCTGCTAGCTGTTGTAACCTGCTTAGATCCTATTGATTGAAGCTGTGGAAAAGTAACTGTTAGTTTAACATATACATGTAAATATACATTGAACATATAAAAATAAGTAAGATTCTCCCCTCCTCTCTCTCTCTCTCTCTCTCTCTCTCCCTCCCTCCCTCCCTCCCTCCCTCCCTCCCTCCCTCTCTCTCTCTCTCTCTCTCTCTCTCACATATATATAGGTACAGGTATAGAGATGGATGGATGATAGATAGATAGTAAATAGATGGTAGATAATGATAGATGATAGATAAATAGACAGGCACACACGCAGAGCGCTAGGAAACAGGAAACGTCATGAAAGAAAACAACCAAGTTCAGAGAGCACACACAATCCCGCTCCCCCTCCTCCCTACAAACCTCCCCCCCCAACCTTCCTAGCACTGATGATGTTCCCTAGTTGGGTCATGAAACGTCTGCAAAAAACCCACGGCTCAGAGAGTACCAAGGACCCCTCATTTAAACTCTGAGCTAGAAATATTCCCCTTTATCGATCTACAGCTGTCATACGTTTCATCAGCCGCCCCCCCCCTCTTGTCCTGCTACTTATCAGACCACCCTTCTCAAACCTGAGGTCCCCCAGAGGCAAGGGACTACAATTCCCATCGTCACAACTGCTGGTTGAACTGGCCGGTTCAGGATTAGCGGAATTCTCTTCTTGCCGTCGCATTTCTTATGCGCCTGTTCTCGGAACATCCCTGCAAATACTTTTCCCCCTGCATCCTGCTCCCCAAAAAGAGGACAGGCGATGCCCTCCACCCCAAAACCACATCATCCCCTCCCTTTTCACCCCCAGCCGCCCCCCCCAATCTGGTACCTTTGCTGACTCTCGGGGTCTCAGTGGAGACCCTCACTCTTGTGGCACCGCTGGGGGACGGTGGCACCTCCCGATCATCTTGAGCCCTGGGCAGAGTTGTCGAGATTCGGGGGGGCTCTGTGGGCCCCGGGCCCTTTTCTTCTCTGGCCCCGGCTGTGGAAACTGAAGGGGAGACCAACTGGGGCACGGCTGTGGTCCAGTTAGCCTTGGTGTCCCCGAGCATCTCCTGGGAGGGTCCAGGTGTGAGCGAAAGGGAGCGTCCCACTGCAAAGGGGACCCAGCTTAGGTGGGAAAGGGCCAGGAGCGTGGTGGAGACCCACAGCATGTCGGGCGAGCTGAACTGAGCCCCACGGTCTGCAGCCTCGGTCCTCCGAGTCCTCTCGAGCTGCTTCTCCCTGGGACGCTTAGAAGCTTAGAAGCATCCTCCTCGGCTCGCATTCCTCGCTATTTCCATACGCCTACCGCATTGTCGGGAATAGCTGGGACCCATTAAAAACACACACACACACACACATTCACACACACACACACACACACACAGATATACAAAGAGGCAAACACGGCCTCCTGCCCTTCAGCTTCCTTGGCTTCGCTTGACTTGTTCCATTTGTTCTCCAAATGGGGCAGCTGCTTTTCTCTTGCCTGGCACAATCCCTTTGAAGCTCTTCTCCTGGGGACCCACACCCCCCCCCCCCACCCGCTTCGCACTCCGGTTTTGGGAATTTGCATTAGAGATTTGGCTCAGAGCCCTCTTCTCTTCTCTTCTCTTCTCTTCTCCTCTCCTCTCTTCTCTTCTCTTCTCCTCTCCTCTCCTCTCCTCTCTTTTCTTCTCTTCCAATTTCTCTTCCAATTTTCTTTTCTCCTCTCCTCTCCTGTCCTCCTTCCCCTTCCCCTCTTTTCCTCTCTTCTCTCCTCTTCTTATCCCATTATCTTCTCTTCTCCTCTCCTCTCCTCCTTCCTCTTCTCTTCTCTTCTCTTCTCTTCTCTTCTTTTCTCTTCTCTTCCAATTTCTCTTCCAATTTTCTTTTCTCCTCTCCTCTCCTGTCCTCCTTCCCCTTCCCCTCTTTTCCTCTCTTCTCTCCTCTCCTCTTCTTATCCCATCATTTTCTCTTCTCTTCTCTTCTCTCTCCTCTCCTCTCCTCTCCTCTCCTCTCCTCTCCTCTCCTCCCCTCCTTCCTCCTTCCTCTTCTCTTCTCTTCTCTTCTCTTCTCTTCTCTTCTCTTCTCTTCTCTTCTCTTCTCTTCTCTTCTCTTCTCTTCTCTTCTCTTCTCTTCTCTTCTCTTCTCTTCTCTTCTCTCTCCTCTCCTCTCCCCCTGCCCTCCCCTTTCCCCTTCCCCTTCCATCCTTTCCCACCTCCTCCCCTCCCTTCTGGCCAAAACATCATTCAATGTGGAAAGCAGATGTTCCCCACCCTACCACAGTTCAGGATTGTTTTGGGGTCTTTGATACAGGCATTTCATTACCCGTCAATTTAACATCATCAGTGCTAGCAGGGAGTGGGGTCTGTGGAAAGGAGGAGGAGGAGAAGAAGAAGGAGGAGAAGGAGGAGTCCTTGATGCTCTCTGAGCTTGGTGGTTTTCTTGCAGATGTTTCATTACCCAAGAACATAACATCATCCATGCCTAGTGATGTTACTATACTGTTATTACAGTATTAATGATGTTAGTTTATTGATTGTTTAGTTTAAGAAAAGGGATATTACGTTTAGATATGAATATATGTAAAAGATTTCAGTTAAGAGATATATCGATGGGGGTGAAGGAAATGGGTAGACTATGAATTGAATAAATGTTAAATTAGGATTTATTATATAGTTTTATAGCAGAAGGTTGCTTTGAAATGTTATATTAATATACATAAAAGATTTGATTTAAGAGATATATGTATGGGGGGGTAGAAAAAGGGTAGATTATGAGCAGAAATCGCTAAACTGGGAGATATAATAATATTATTATGCTAAATTAGGAGTTATTATATAATGTTATAGTAGAATGTCATTTTGAAATGTATAGTATAAGGGGGATATAATAATATTATTAGAAAGAAAGGGTCAGCATATGGGGATGGAGTAAGGGGATGGTAAAGTATTATGTAATCTGTTATGAATTTGGGTTTTATTATGAAGAAGCCACAGGGGGGAGGGGAGGGGGGGTTAGGGAGGACGGGGGGGGAAAGGGGGAAAAATTTGTATTTGAAAAACTTTTTCAATAAAAAAAAAAATGATGTTTCCTAGTTGGGTCACGAAATGTCTGCAAAAAAACCCACGCAGCTCTGAGAGCAACAAGGCCCCCTCAGTCCTCCTCCTTCTCCTTCCTTCCAGCACTGATGATGTTTCCTAGTTGGGTCACGAAACGTCTACAAAAAAAAACCCACGCAGCTCTGAGAGCACCAAGGACCCCACAGTCCTCCTCCTTTTCCTCCTCCTTTCCCACTCCCTCCTAGCACTGGTGATGTTATCTAGTTGGGTCATGAAACGTCAGCAGGAAAACTGCCAAGTTCAGAGAGCACTAAGGGCCCCACAGTTCAACCCCGAGCTTAAAATTTTTTAAATTTTGTATTTATATGTTTTATTCTATGGCTGTTCACCGCCCTGAGTCCTTCGGGAGTAGGGCGGTATATAAATTCAATAAAATAAAATAAAATAAAATAAAATAAAATAAAATAAAATAAAATAAAATAAAATAAAATAAAATAAAATAAAATAAAATAAAATAAAATAAAATAAAATAAACAAACAAACAAACAAATAAATAAATAAATAAATATTCTCTTTTCTTGGTTAACAGGATTGTTGAAAAAGTAGAGGGACCCTGATCTGAGCACTTCCTGGACTGACCAGGGAATTTTCTTAAGGTTTCAGGGCTCACTTCTTTTGCGAATAAAATTGTCAACAACTCGGAGAGCATCCAAGATCACCGATTCCAGAAAATGGAGCTGCTTCTGGGCTAAAGGACCCCGCAAGATTCTGTTTCTAAGAAAGTTTTGAGTCACGGCTATTGTTTTCGAGGGACATCTGTTTCTGTTCTCATTTATTCATCCTTTTGGAGGTTGGTAGCACAGATAAAAGTTTATGGGTAGATTTCGTAACCAAATAAATCACATCGACAATATATATATATATATATAAAAATCTAGGCAGCCAAAGTGTTTGGGTATCATTTTATGAGGCAGACACACCCTCTGTTTTGCATTTTTGCCTTGGGGAATGGATTTCTTTGGAACAGAACAAATAAACTCTGTTTTTTGAGGTTCTTTTGAGCCGAGTGTGTGAAGTGGGCAGGCCTTATGGCAAAATTGGTCTGCGGGATTTGAAGAACGAGGTGTGGAAGGAAAAAAGCTGGATTGGATTGGGCCGGATTAAGGGATTTATGCAAAATAAGCATCGGTCGGCAAATTTTAATATACTTTCTGTTACAAACCATTTGGCCACGGGGATGCTGCAGTGGTCGTAAGTGTGAAAAATGGTCATAAGTCCCCCTTTTTAGTACCGTTTGTAAGTCAAGGACTACCTGTATTTCAACCAGATTCTTCCATTCATGAATTATGGTTGAAATAGGTTGCGGGGGGGATCACTTTAAGGCAGAGGTCTTCAAACTTGGCAGCTTTAAGACTTGTGGACTTCAACTCCCAGAATTCTCCAGCCAGCTGGCTGGAGAATTCTGGGAGTTGAAGTCCACAAGTCTTAAAGCTGCCAAGTTTGAAGACCTCTGCTTTAAGAGAAACGATAAAACCCACCAAACTTCCTGCCTTTCATAAACCACAGTTTAGCAGCCCAGCCGGCTAAACCAGGATGAATAGGAGTTGGGAAACCTGAAACTCCCCAAGTGTTTCGAGTTTCAAAGTTTGTACCTTAATTTAGCGGCTGCAAACATGAAAGGGCTTCAAAATGTGTTCTGAGTTCAAGAATTCTCTACGCTGAATTTCATTTTGTCAGATAGGGCCCAGTGCTCAAGAATTCTGACAAAATGAAATTCAATGTAGAGAAAAGTCAAGTCCTACATTTAGGCAAGAAAAACCCAAAAGGACACATATAGACTGGGTGAAACCAGGTTTCTTAATAGCAGTGACTGTGCGAGGTTCTTGGAGTCTTAGTGGACAACCAGCTAAATATGAGCCAGCAGCCAAAAAAGCCAACGCAATCCTAAACTGCATTAACAGAGGGATACAATCAAGATCAGGTGATGTACTAAGACCACTCTGTAAAGCCTTAGTAAGACCACACCTAGAGTACTGCATCCAGTTTTGGTCCCCACACTATAAAAAAGATGTGGAGACTCTGGAAAGAGTGCAGAGAAGAGCAACAAAGAGGATTAGGGGACTGGAGGCTAAAACATACGATGAACGGTTGCAGGAACTGGGCCTGGCTGGTCTAGTGAAGAGAAGGACCAGGGGAGACATGATAGCATCTTCCAATATTTGAGGGGCTGCCATAGAGAGGAGGAAGGGGTCAAGCTGTTTTCCAAAGCACAAGGAAGAAAGAAAGAAAGAAAGAAAGAGAGAGACAGAGAAAGAAGAAAGAAAGAAAAAGAAAGAGAGAGAGAGAGAAAGAAAGAAGAAAGAAAGAAAGAAAAAGAAAGAGAGAGAGAGAGAGAGAAAGAAAGAAAGAAAGAAATCTGAGTGAATCATAGTTGGACAGAAGACATGGCTGGTCTAGTGAAGAGAAAGACCAGGGGAGACATAAAGTAATATTCCAATATTTGAGAGGCTGCCATAGAGAGGAGGGGGTCAAGCTGTTTTCCAAAGTACAAGAAAGAAAGAAAGAAAGAAAGAAAGAAAGAAAGAAAGAAAGAAAGAAAGAAAGAAAGAAAGAAAGAAAGAGAAAGAGAGAGAGAGAGAAAGAAAGAAAGAAAGGAAGGAAGGAAGGAAGGAAGAAAGAAAGGAAGAAAGAAAGAAAGAAAGAGAAAGAGAGAGAGAGAGAAAGAAAGAAAGAAATCTGAGTGAATCATAGTTGGACAGAAGACATGGCTAATCTAGTGAAGAGAAGGACCAGGGGAGACAGGAGAGCATCTTCCAATATTTGAGGGGCTGCCCCAGAGAGGAGGAAGGGGGTCGAGCTATTTTCCAAGGCACCTGAAGGCCAGACAAGGAACAATGGATGGAAACCGAACAAGGAGAGATTCAACCTGGAATTAAGGAGAAATTTCATGGCAGTGAGAACCATCAACCCATGGAACAGAAGTTGCCTTCAGAAGTTGTGGGAGCTTCATCACTGGAGGCTTTCAAGAAGAGACTGGGCTGCCCTCTGTCAGACATGGTGTAGGGTGTTTCCTGTTTGGGCGGGGGGTTGGACTAGATGACCTCCAAGGTCCCTTCCAACTCTGTTAATCTGTAATCAAATTTCGATGTTCAGAATGACTTTGGAAGGAGGGTAGTTTATGCGTAAATCCATGTTTTGTCAGATCCTGGGAGGAGGAGGCTTTTCGGACAGGAAGGGGTTATTATCCCTTCTTGCCCTTCCCGTTACTCCAGCAGATAACAAAAAAATGAAGACCATCTGGAATTAATTGGAGTGAGCTGTCCTGTTTCATTGCCCTCCCTTCCCGATGCAAAACATTTCCCCCCCACACTCCCACTTTGGAGCAACTTAATTTATGGTAGGATTTTCCGGCTTCCCCACCGTTCAGCCTCTTTCCTGCCTTGTAAAATTCTTATTATTTGTCCCCAGGTTTCCTCTCCGGCCACTGCAAGTTGCTTAAAGAGGAGTCAGCAGGAGCTGAAACAGACATTAAAGACCCCATAATAGTTGCCGGCTTCTTGGGAACTTAGTCAATTGGAATCACATTTAATAAGAACTGAGACCAGATTGGAATAACAGAGTTGGGAGGGACCTTGGAGGTCATCTAGTCCAACCCCCTGCCCAAGCACGAGACGCCCTATGCCATGTCTGACAGAGGGCAGTCCAGTCTCTTCTTGAAAGCCTCCAGGGATGAAGCTCCCACCACTTCTGAATAATAGATTAATTACAGATTAATAGAGTTGGAAGGGACCTTGAGGTCATCCAGTCCATCCCCCATCCAACCAGCAGACCCTACACCAGTGATGGCTAACCTTTTTGCCGTCGCGTGCCAAAAGCAGGGGGAGCGT